TGTGTTGGGGATGGCACACCCCACCTCCCACTCCCAACACAGCCCAAGAGAAGAAAGAAACACAAATTTAACCAACTCCTGTCTTTTCTGCCTGCACAGATCACAGGGAGGACTCTAGAATCCACACTGCAGATAACTAAATGAGCAATATGGGCATGTATACACATTGCAGGTGTCCAGCCCCACATCACAGTGCAGATGGAGCCAGTGCAGGAACTGTTTAAGTAAATCCAGGCTTCTAGAACTGCTTGAGGTGCCCTCAATTACCCCTCTATCCAGGGCTAGCAGGACAAAACCTACATCCTTCTCTGTGAGCCGGGTGGGATGTACTTAGGGAACCATATCAGACCATGCCTCTCTGCAGACCCCAGGGAATTCCTGTGTGGACACCTCTATTTGACTCTCAGTTGATCCATTAGTGAGAGAGAACAAAATCCTGTTTCTCAGCTCAGCTGCACAGCAAGCTTTTCATTTTTTCTCCCTTATTTTTCCCCCCAGAAATCACATATTCAGACAACTGCAATGAAGACTCCTCACTCCACACATGTTGATACCACACTGAACTCCAGCTCCAACCCCTAGCTCATTTGTGGTCACTCAGCTGTTCTGTGGTATTCCTGCTTTTTCTCCTTATCATTCACCATAATTACTCTACACATGGTTACAAACACATGGTTCTGTTTCCCCATGAGTTAAGGCTACAAGTAGGGATTGTGCTCTTCCCTTTTGGAGGGTTAGAATTTTCAGCTCTGTTGAACAGATATGGTGTTAAATATGGTTCACTGTCCTCCAGCTGGGGAGGACAAATGCACTGAAAGGTGGCAAAAGGCATATTTCACGAGTGAGGAAATGAAATAACAAAAATGAAAATGCACAATGTTATCTACTATTGTCAGTGGAACAGCACTTTTTATTATGTCTGTATGCAATGGGAATATTAACTCTGATATGCAGAAGTGCAAATTAAACTGCTGATTTAGATTATCATATTTCAAGAATAGTAACTTTATAGGCTTTTTAAATTTTTCATTCCATGTAAAACCTCTGTGAGTTATAAGCCTTTTTTGTCAACTATATCTTATAAGTGAGAGGTTTATATTCCTGCTGTTACACTAAAGGAGGCATTTTGCTGCTAGGAGAGTTTAGCATTTTATTCAGCTGTGGTAACTTTCCCTTATACTCTAGCACGAAGCACACTTAAGACAGAAATGTTCAGTAGCTTATTATGCCCCTATGTGAGGAACTAATCTTTTTATCCCCCACTTCATTTTTCAGAGACTCCCAAAGTGTTTTGCAAACTCTACACATTTGCCTAGCATAAACAAATAATACATGGACTTCAATAGGGACTTTGCCTTCTACATTTTTAGTAATTCCACTTTCTCTTACTGCAAGTTTCAAGAATACTGAAATTTCCCGGTTAATATTATGGGCTTCTGGGTAAATTTTGCTCACATTAATTTGGGCTATTTGTTACTTTGGTGAATAAGCAGGGGAACAGAGGACTACAATTTTTAAAGAAATGTATTTATTATTTAAAGGAAAATTTTCTTTACACAGAAAAATACACAGGTTTCCCCCCTGAACTACCAGTGAGTGACAATCTCTGAGGAATGCCATTCAATAAAAACAAAATAAATGTGCTTTTTGTTTTGGTTTCTTTTGTTGGTGGTTTTTTGGGGTTTTTTTGGGTTTTTTTTTTTTTTTCCTGTAGGAAACCAGCAAAAATTCCTAAGGAAGTTACTCCATTACTAACTTTTCAAGCACTGGATTTTTGATTTAGCCTGGCTTTCTATGGACACACACCATGTTCATTTGTTGCCCTGGCTTCTGCTTTCTGGTTGTTCCCTCTAATATCTTGCAAATCTATTTGCCAATTTTGATTGAACTTGATAGAGTAATTGAAGACTCAGTGATACAAGCAAATGAGGTGAGGACATCTGGCCCATTCCCTTGTCTCAGATGGACAATGGCTATGGACCCAGGGAAGCTGGGTAATAATTGTAATAAAAGTCATCTATTGTTACTTTCCCAGGATTATCCTCTGACATCCAGGGCTGGAGGTTCGTAGGGATCCCAAGCCACAGCTGCTTCCTTTGTGTCTTGTAATCTTTCCTACCAAATCTTGTCCTACTGTGCTTGTGTGATACATATTTAAAGGAGAGAAAGAGACCCTCTGAATAACCTGACTGAATGAAAGCTGCAACACGAGCAGTTATCCCTTACTAGACTTTATTAAAGTTACTCTCCCTGGAGGTTACCCAGCACACTTTGTCTTTTGTCTCTCTGTTCCTTAGGCATCAATTACATTGTGATAAATTGTCCTGAGTAAAGGAAAGTGTGAAGCAGACGCTCTGATACTTTCTCATTTTCTGCCTTACCTCTTGGGCATTGCCAAGTAAACTGCCATGGAGACCAGCACATAAACATCCCTTCCCCAGGACAGTCTTGTGGGAAGAAGCCAAGGAACTGAAATACTCACAGCAGCAGGCCTCACCTGGCACTGTAAATTATAGTGACAGCCACACAAAGCATTTTCTCAGTGATGCACATGAGAGGAAAGTGCCTGGTCTGACCTTCTGTGTGTCAGCAGGTGGAAGCATGTCACAGCTTCTGCCCTGCACCAAGCTCTGCAGCTTCCAGACCATCCCAGAGGATGGACATGGTCACCTGGTGGCTCTCAGAGCCCAGGGGACTTCGGGCTGGGCACACAGTAACTCACTGTATCGACAGCTCTTCTAGTCCCAGTATCTTCCTAAGGCTGCCTTAAAATTTCCCTTCAAAAACACCAGAATCAAGCAATTTGATGGTACTATTAAATGTCATTGTCAACACTGGCTACACTTGCCACAGGAGCTCTTGGTCCCTGTTATTTTTTCTGTGATCTTCTTGTGATGATTGAATGTTATAATTTCCAGGATTCCCACAGGCGATCATTAAAATGCTGGCAAGTTGGTATTGATGACTGGTTTTCACTGCACAAGCAGAGTATTTCTCAGCAGATAAGTACACACTTTTTGCCTTGAACAGTGAAAGAAATGTACACTGAATTTCTTTCCCACTGGCAGTTTGTATTTCAATACTCAAGATAATTTCTACAAGAAAATATAACATTCGTGATTGCATCCAGCATTTACAAAAACAGTCAGGCTCTTCCAATTTGAAAAGAAAAAATTATGCAGGAGATGGGGGACTATTTCTATGCTGATTTTGACATCTGAGTCATCAAGTTTAGAGAAGGCCCTGTGGCAAAAGTGCTCACCCTACACAGAGGGTGGAAATAAATTGAACATGAACACAAACTGTAAAGGAGAGAGCATCTCTACATGGCCCTTTCCCTCTCCATGCTAACCATTATGTACCCAGCAAAATTCATGGTGGGGTGCAAGCCCTTCCAAACAGGCACTTGGTGAAAAAACCCCAAATGTGTGTTATATGGGGATGTAAAAGCCCCTCCTGGTCTGAGGGGGGGCTGTGTTTGAGGAGAGCATGCTCTGGCTTGTGCCTTTGGTGGCAGCATTACAGAGTCCCTTTGCTCAGCTCAGCCCAGGACCTCAGCAGACACAAGAAGAGCAGCACACAAGCTGGAACACCCTGGGTTAGGATGTGTGACCCTGTGGCATCATCTCAGCAACCCACACTTGCCTCAGAGCTTCATGGAGGGTGAGAAAAAGCACCCCAAAAGCAGGCAGTGATATTGGACATAACTGGAATCCTTGCTGATGCCTAATGCCAGGCACTGGCCTGGGAATAACCACTAGAAAACCAGCTTTATCTGTTGGAAGAAGAAGCTCTATTACACTGAAGGAAAGAAGAACTAGGAGCACAGAAAGCCCAGCTGTCCTGTTTGGCCACTTGGATGGTGTGTCTCAGTCTCTTCCTGCTGTGCCTCTTCCAGCACTGGTGGAGAGCACCAGAGTCTTCCAGAAGTGTCTCCCTGCTGCCACCCTTCATTGCCATACAGAGTGCATGGCTTCCTTGTCTGAGTGCTCAAACAAACCCCTGCTTCAGTGCAATGGACAAAGGCCACAGCCTCACCTTCTGCTTCACTGCCAAACTTCCTCCACCAAACTTTTCACTCTGCAAGGCTACAGCAATCAGGCAGCCACACCACCATGAGGTCAGGGCTTTTGCCAGCATTTTGGACTTTGCTGCAGGCAAAAGCACAGGGAGTGTAAGAACCAGCCTGTGGCTGTGGTTGTGCATGTGCTGCAAAGTCACCCATCAAACACTATAATTTTCTTCACCTTGGCTGACCCAGTGTGGACCCATTTTCTTAATGCAAAACGTGTGGAAGTAGGAGTTTTATTGCTGATGAACTGTGCAAACCTGGAAGCTGAAGGCAGAATTGTTCCTTCTGGGCTGGAGCAGGCACTTTGTCAGCTCCCTGCTGGTGACTAATGAAGCAGGTAACCCTTTCTGTCTTGCGAGGCCTTCCTGAATGGACTCAAAACACATATCAATCTTTATTAATGATGTCACTCCTCCTGCAGAGGTGCTCTCCCTCAAATCCACTTTTTCTTGTGCAGAAACAAGGGCTTTCCAGCAGATTACCCATACCTATAATTACACCTGAAATACCAGATGGTCACCTGCTGATGGGAAGGTGATCTAGCAGGTAGCCACCTAACAAATAGGTGACACTCTGCCAGTTGACACAAGACATAAAGACCCAACTGCTAAGGTGATACACGTGGCAGTTTGCAAAGAGCTCTATCAGCTGCATTGATGGGGAAGGGGGGGAATTGCATGAAGCATGAACCAAGTACTTACCACTCTCTACTGATTTCTGAATAAATAATTTTTTCCCTCGAAAATAAAAGACTTAGCGAAAAAAATTTGTTGGTTTTTTGTTGGTTTATATTTTTCCCCCTCCTGTGCAGTCACAGCTGTGTGGGGTCCTTTGCTTCCCCCTGCTGTCACCCTGGAACGGCACAGGGTGGGCTGTGGCTGCAGCCAGCCGTGGGAGTGGGAAGCCTGATGAGGATGGGCTCCGCCGGCAAGCGCTCCCGCATCCCACAGCTCCCACAGTGCTGCTGTGGAGAGCGCTGAGAGCGGGAGGCCAGCAGGAATAAAAGGCAGCAGGGCCCCCTCCGTGCCTCACTGCCCACAGGCAGAGTCCCAGGAGCCAGGCAGAGCTCTGGGGTCCCATTGGAGAGGGCTCTCCCAGCTGGCTCCCACCGAAGGCTGGATTTGCTGCTCCTCTGCCCCATCTCCCACACGCGCAGGTGAACGGATTTGGCACCCACTGCACTCTCAGGTAAGAGGGGTTTGCTGGGACCTGGGCAATGAAAGCCAGTGTGGGGCTTTGTGGTTTGTTAGGAAGAGGACTTTGCTTGGAATATTTCAGAAAATAAAAAGCAATTGTTCCCTCTAGCAGTCCCTAGGAAGAGCCCTTGTTGTGGAGGGGTTTGCTGGCCCATGTACACCTCCCGTGTCCCAGCAGGGATCCCTGGCAGTCAGAAGCCATCAAGTGGGAATTGGGATCTTAGGAAGCCCCACCAATTCTGCCTGCTGCGTCCACCAGCACAGAGTGGGGCACCTGCATCTGGGAGAGAGAAGAGCTCAATTTGAAAAGTCTTTGAACACTGTAGTACCACTGTGGATGGACATGGCTCTTGTTTGGACTCACACATAGTGGGGCCAGCCTGAAGTTGTCTTTTGGCTTTGCTGTAGGTCAGGCATGCACCAGTCAGTGCTCACCCTCTTTTGACTCCTATTAGCTAAACATTTAGGATGAGAATAATGACCAGAAAAATAATTTAAAGGTAAAACTAACTGAAATTACAAGCAGGCAGGCTGGAGGGTCTGTGCTACACACACTTATCACTGCTGCTTGTAAGAGACAAGGAACTGAGTGCAACAGGTGGCAGAAATGTGAGACACAGCATGTGTTCTGGGTGGGCAAACCTGGCAGTGAGGGCACTCAGTGAGGAGTGTCAGACAGCCTGGAACAGGCACAGGGGTGCTGTGGCTCTGGTGTGGCTCAGCTGCAAGCTGCCACCCCAAAAAGCAGCTGTATGGAAAGGCTCCAGCCTCCTGCCAGGGGTTCAGAGACTTGTCCCCACTGCTTGCTGGCCCTTCTAACCCAAGGGCAGGTCCCTTTCCGCTGGGGAAACAAAACCTAGGGAAGGATTGATGGGAGGAGGTCCAGAAGTTGGCTTTGGTCTTTAACTTTTTTTCCTGGCTTAGTTTTATGTTTTTGTATGACTTTCCCAACTCACTATCAACCTGGGAGCAGGTACAGTGGGGCAGGACACCTTCCTGCCCTTGTATGCCACCAGTCTTTGTGCTGTGCCAATTTTAGTTTCCTATGAGTTTCAGTGACAATTTCTCTGCTTCAGCTGTGAAACAAAACCATTTTGCAGCTGTCTGGCTGCTGAATTGCACTTTAGCACCCTCATGCATTGGCACAAAAGAAAATAATTCATCCTTAACACCCACAGAAGCTTTTGAAGAATCACCAAAGATGTGGGGGAAAGGGGCAACACCTCTTTATCTGGCAAACAGAATGAATTCTCTGAGGGATTTGTCAGTCCTAGAGAAGTCCAAGCCGTCATCTGAGGAAGGACTGAAACCATTACCTGGTAGTTATGTGTGCTGTGTTCTTGTGTGAACAGGTTTTGTGCACAGCCATCGTGAAATTGCTTTCTTTATCTCACCTGTTGGAACAGCACACCCAGAGCTCTGAATCACAGTCACTTCTGGGCTCTGTCACTAGATGGTGACATGCTTCCAGATACCGAGTCCTCCTTCAGTTTGTCTTTTTCTTTTAGTGTAAAAGAGCAGTAAATAAAGACAAAAGACATCTGTTTTACCCTCTGCCTATGGAAATACAGCATTCTCAGCCACAATAAATTCTGCTTAAGATAATTTGATATTTAACTGATTTTTAATATGGCATTGGATTGATCAATGTTGTTTCTGTAAGAATTACTGCTATAAAAGTAATTTTAGTTATAAACATTTACATAATGACTAATATTTCCAATCTACACACAATATAGAACACCTTTGTCAGCAGACATTTCCAGATGCAAAATGAATGCCTGTTTGTTCATCTTCTAGAAACAAACCTGCACTGAAAGCTTTAAAGTTAATATATCATTTGGTTGGGAAAAGTACCACCCTTCCTCTTTTCTGTTTTCCCTGAGCATGCAACAGTGCCTATTTTTTTCCTTGAAATGCTCATCAATAGTTTCAGCCCATAGGCACAGTATTTGCTCTGCTGAAGAAGGTTTGGTGGCTGGTATGAGACACATGCACTCACCAGAGGTCAGGCACTCATATGTAATGTCCATTCCAGTCCATCATTCAGTAGTGAAGGAGATGTCCTTTGGGATATGAAGATGAGGGCTGGAAAAGGAGAGCTAAATTCCATGAGACATCTGATGAGATCAGGCACACTAGAAACCTGGATGTATTCATTGGTGGCTGGCTGCTGCCTGCAAGGGTTACTGACCTGGTGGGATATCTGTGAATGCCTCAGTCCCTGACTCTTGCTTGGTCATTCACCCACAGGTAAAACCACACCTGCCTCTGTTTCCTGCCAGGAAACAGAACCTGCAATGCCATTGTGCAAGGAGCAAACCCCATCCCTTTCCCATAGCAGCAGAGGGTCCTGTCTGGGCTTGGAGACAGCCTCCTCTGCTCAGCCTTGACTAGTAGGGCTTGGACAGACTTTGGAGAGGGGTATGGCCATGGACCAGCTGGTTGAACAAGTCTGTCTTTATCTTCAGTACATGCCTGGGACCCTGTGGTCCCTAGCAGGCTTTGGGCCAAGCTGGACACAGCATTGCACAAGAAAGCCCTAGGGTGGATCTCATGGCAACTTAGAACACAGTGAGGCTAAGCTTAAAATACTGCTCTCTAACCATTAAGAAATCTTGAGGCTATTTTGAGGTAGGTGCAGGAATGCAGCTTCCCTTGTCCTGGCCTCCTCCACACATACCTTCCTGTGTCACACAGCTGCTGCTGGCGGGACACTTGTGGTGACCCTGGCCAGAGGCTGAGGCTTGGAGCGTGTGGTGTGTCTGTGTGTGTTTGTGTGTGTGTGTCTGTGTCTGTGTGTCTGTGTGTGTCTCTGTGTGTGTGTGTGTGTGTCTGTGTGTGTGTGTCTGTGTGTGTGCGTGCGTCTGTCTGTCTCTATGGTGTGTGTGTGAGCTTTCCACACTCCCATTGATTTGGAATGCCACTTAACTGTCTGGTGCTGTCTGAGGCCAGAGCTTGGATGCCTGGCTGCTTGCTCATCCCTCACCCCACCTTGTAAAAATTCTTCTTTACAAGGAGCTACTTTCTAATCCAGCTACTTTTCTGTCAAAGGCATGTTGTTCTGGGCTCCCTGTGGGGTTTGCAGCTTTTATTCCATATTCTTCTTCAGAATCCTCCTTGACCTTAAAACTCTTTTCATCTTCTCTCCTCCTTTTTCTCTTTAATTCATTTTTGCTCACTAGTCAATTCTTGCTGAGGTTTGTGTACCAAGCCCTACTTGTTTTTCCTGGGTTTTCTCATAAGAGTTAAATACTGTGTTCTGCCCGAAACCCAATCAAGGTGAAGATAGAACCTTTCACAGTTTTCAGGAAGATGGCATTAATACTTCTCCCACAGCCTCCCTGTGACCCCAGGGCTCGAGCATCATCCCCAGCAGGCAAGCCTGGGGCTGCTGGAAGGCATAGCTGCCTCTGGGTTTGCCACGCTGCTGGCTGGATTTGTGTGTGCTTGGGGTTTTCGAGGGTAGAGAAAGCCTGCCAGCATGTGTGAGATCTGAGCCAAGATACTTGGTAAGGTGAAGACATATCTCATAGCCATATTAATTTCTCTGTCCCCACAGGCACCCCAGAAGGCTCACCACCACCATGGCTGCTGGCCTGGAGAAAGCCTGCCACCGGTGCATATCTAAAATTGCCAGCAATGGTAAGGCACTTCTGGTAGCCATTGCCTCATGGATTTGAGCAGCCCTGTTGCTAAGCCAAGTATATAAAGGAATCACAATGGTACCAAGTCCCACCTGCATCTTCCACTAAGTTTCCTTTCCTAGATACTTTTGGGAACTGATGGAGTGTGCACTAGTAACTCTACCCTAACAGCAGCTGCCTGTTGCAGTATTTGAAATATAGCAACCAGCACAAAATTTCAAAAAAAAATCACCATGTACTTAAATATGGGCATCAACAGACAGCCTAAGCAAAATAATGTGTTTGCCTCCTCTCTGAAGTGTTACCTTACACATAGTGCAGCAGAAGCATTCACCTCGTGAAGAGCAGCACAGCCAGCCTGGGAACAAACTCTCCTAGGAGTGATTCCCACCAAGCAAAACTGCTGCCAGCCTGTGTGATGGCACAGGGAGACAAGTCTGGGGATGGAATATCAGGGATATCCCCCTTTCACCCAGTGAGATCTGGGACAGGTTATTCTTCCCACTGCTGGCCTGCTCCCTGGCACAAGGGACATCTGGGTGGGGGTATCCCCCATAAGCAGCCCCTTGCTGGGGGTTGGAAGCATCAGTTATCTGGACAGAGGTTCTTCTGCATGACAGCCTGGGCTTGCTCAGGTTTTAAAGCAACTGGTTCTCCCCACCCAGGGTGGAGGGCACAGAGGGCTGTAATGAGCTGACAGCTGGTGGAACAGGCTGGTTCTTGCTCTCAGCAGCAACGCAGCAGAAAGCTGACCTGGGCTGAGGCTGTGCAAGCTGCACAGAGGCACAGGAGAAACACACTTCAGAGGTGGGGTTTTGTAAGATCAGGGAAGCAGTCTCCTCAGCAGGAGGTTAAAATCCATGGGTTTAAAGCAGCTTACTCCTGCTGACTGCATCTCCTTTTCCCTCTGAGTTGCAAGTGCCTTTTGCTTTCACTTCTAGGCAGTAGCAATTTCTAATTCCACTCAAATGCAAGAAGCAGCAAACCCCTTGACCACTCTTCCTAACTGATACTTTACCCACACTAATTGCTGCATTTCCCAGTCTAGGGTGTTTGGAGTCTTCTATATTCCTGATCTTTGCTTTGCCTGACAGGCTCTCAAAGCTCAGAATGAACTTTTATTAATGATGAAACCCCTCAACTCCTTGCTGTCTTACAACCTGGCAGAGAAAATCAGGCCAAAGGGACAGAAAGATCAACCCAGGCCTCCCTGCAGAAACCTGGCACAGGTAGGGAAGGAGAGGATATTTTCTGGCCCACTTTTTCATGCTCATCACTGCCCTAGGGGAAAGGAGGGCAGTAGAGTGATGGAAAACAAGGGGTACAGAGCATGCACCCTCATTATACCCTGACAAGTGCCTGGGAGTGGAATTGGGACCCAGCTGGTCCCTGTAGGATCCCTCACATCCTGCAGAAAGGACATGAAGGGAAGAGGATCTGGACTCATTGGTGAATATTACCATTTAAAAGGTCAAAAGTGGTATTTTCTCTGATTTTTGTTCCTAGTGTCTACAAGCGAAATGTTACCATCCCCTGTTATTAAATTACCATTGGAACTTCAATAATGAGGGAGAAAATAATTAATCCCCTAGATTTTTATTTGAAAGATATGGATTAGTTCTGATTTCACCTATGCTCTTCTACGCCAGAAGTACCCTCTTGGATACCTGAAAAGTTACCCATGTGTGAGGAACTCAGAGAGATCATTCCAGAAAAATATCTTCAGGTTCTTATCATGCTTAAGTTCAAAATAAGCTCAGCTTTAGCTATGGATCAGCTAATGCATTCAAAATGGATTTTATGTTCATTAAAAAGCAGTGATGCTTAATTTCACTTTTCCCCATCATCCTGTATTTATTTTTCAAAGACCTTTCCAGCAAAATCCACATTTGTACCTTTGGTCTGCTGGTATTGGAATAACTCCCAAGAGCTCCAAGAACCCACCTGTGGAGCATTTTTTCATTCTCGGTGTAGCAATTTAAGTTCAGTCTTCAATTTACTGACCAAAATAAAAAAGCCTAATCCACTACCCTGGGTCTACTGCAAAGCAAACTGAATGGCTCTATATGTAATGCCTAAATATTGTTATAAAATTACTTCTGGAAATTATTCACAAGGGGCCAAATCCAGAATTTAGACCATGGCATAACTATAGTTCAGTATCCAGAGGCATAATATAAAATCCAGGCTAGACACTCTGCAATATTGCTCAACCCCCAAGGCAGCTACACCTAGGACATAAATTTTAGGTGAAGTGATGCTGATATCCAGGTACCAAAATTCTATATTGCAGTAATTCAACCCTGCCTAATCAAGGAGTGGTGGAACACAGCAAAGAGCTGGTGGCCCTGAGCTGGGATTTGGTCAGTTTCCTCACACTTCCCCTGCCTCAAATGGTGGGGTTTTTCCTTTTGGAGGAACTAGAGGCCTCCATGGGAATGGCTGTTTCTTACCCTGATTCCTCCAGCTTCTGAGTATCTAGTCTGGTCAAGGGATTCAGTCATGCCAGGGATTCCTGCCCTTCATCCCCAGAGATTATTCCATCAATATATCTCCTTGCTATGGCATTAGCCTCATAACCAGCCAGTCTTTGGTTTTGCTCAAGGATATCTTATGTCTCTACTCTTTGGATCACTCACAGGTCTGGTTTTGCATGCTCAAACCTTGCTGTTATTTTCTTAGTTGGTGGTGGCCAGCCAAGCTGAACAGATTTAATTCCTTTCCTTCATGTTACTTCATTCAAGTCTTTTCTGCATATCCCATCTGAGAGAGTGGCATTTTCCTGTGACTTGAAAGCACAGAATGACAGCCAGTAATCACAGCTACCAAAAACACGGGCAGACTCATCTCTGGTCTGTAAAACACACAATCTTACTGGGGCTGGTTCCTCAGAAAGATCCATCGAGACTTTCTCTGCCACCACGACCCCCTCAGGCTGCATTCTTTCTTTCCTCCAAGTGCCTATCAGCACTGCAGGGGATGCCTGCAGATGCCATGAAGGAATAGAACAAGGATGAAAATACCTGTTCCCCATGTGCATTCCAGCCTGTTAGAGCACCCATGCTGCAGTGCAGCACACTGTGACACTGCTTGCTGAGCTACTGCATTGCCATCTGCACCTGCCCCAGGGCATCGACAGGCATGGGGCCCTGCCAACTGAATTTGACCCAGATTTCCCAACACCCAGACTGCTGGGAGTCAGGCCCCTTCAGAGCAGCATTCCCACAGGGTGTTGTCCAAAGGGCATGCTTTGGCATATTTTCACACAGAGTTTTGCTCCTCAGCTGGTTCATGCAGATAAATCCCGGGATAACTGCAAGCTTTGTTTTTAAGCTGGAGGATCTCATGTAAAAAAATAAAAATTTCTTTTTTATCCAGAACCTGATAGACTACAGAACAAATAGCAGCACCTGGGAGTGATGGTAATGTAACCAACAGTTCATTTATTACTGTATTTCTTATCAGAGAGCTTGTCACTCTACTGAGCAGCTTGCACTACAGCTGTATTAGAGAAGAGTAGGTAGATTGAGATTTATATTCATAAATAGCTGCTGAAAATCTTGTGAAGACTCTTACCTGAAAAGAAAGATTTTTTTCTCTCTCCTCAAAGTAAATAGGGACAGCCTGAGCTGATCTGTACCTTTCAAGTGCTTGGAAAACTCGTGGCAGCAAAATGAAGTCTGAGGAGCCCACGGGTGAATTGGTGTCACCTCCAGTACTGCCTCCAGATGCCAAGCAAATGCCAGAGGGCAAGAGGCTGTGTGTCCTGAGGCCAGGCACAACAAGGGAGTGGCAGAGGCCTGGGAGGAGAGCTGCAGTGCAGGGGCATGCCTGTGGAAGATGCAAAGGCTCAGGCATCAGACAGAAGAGAGACCGTGACATACAGCCAAAATGTCAACAGCGATCTCAAGCGTGTTTACTTCCGTGGGGAAATCCTGGCAAGAGGAATTCAGCCAAACAGCAGATTTGTATCAGCTGACTGTACTGCTGGGCAGGAGACACAAAACCTGCACCCACTGATCTAATTTTTGTGAGCACAGATTTCAAGGAACGTGCAAGATATTCAGCCACCAGTTCTCTTCTTCCTCTGGTGTGATCATAGACACGAGCTCTTCCCTCCATCCATTTCCCAGCACGCTAGGATCCCACAGCCAGACTTCACTAGGTGCTGCCCTGCTGGTACAGAGCAGTGAGATCTCCTGCCCGATGCCCAGGCACCAGCCTCATGGAATACCAGATACCCTCTCGAGGCACGCCTGGAAACACTTCCCTGGTTGTGCTGTGTTTTTAGAGACTACCAGCCCTTTTTTGCAACTTATTCCAGGAATGGGGCCAGGGTGTCCTCTGGCCAGCCTGTGAGGCGATATCTCCGACACACAAACACCACCAGCCCCACATGCGGACCTGCCCGCATGTCCTCTCTGCTGAGCCGGGCTGCCCTGCGGCAAGCGCCATTCTCTGAAGCAATTTGTCTTGGGACCAGAACGGGGCAGCAGAGCCCAGACAAACCCGGGCAGAGAATGCGTGCATGCCGGCTGAGCAGCATTCCTGTGAAACCCCCACACATCCAGGGAAAATCAGCCTTCAGCGCTGCTAGCGACACTGAGGGGGGCTGCAGAGCCCTGCCAGTTGTGTAGGCAATTGTTGAAGAGTCTCACTTTGTTAAACATGGATCTGGAAGCCTTCCCAGACTATGCATCTGCCCCTCCAATTCGAGACCTAAGAGGCTGTAGCTGAATGGGGAGATAATGAGTAAATACATTCCCCGCGCCTGCTTTGGGAGCGGAATTAATGAACCATTATCTCTTTCTCTTGAGCTCTGAGTGGTCTCTACCTCCCACTTCTCCCCTCCAAAAGCGAGCTGCTGGGCAGATGTCAGACACCAGCAAGCACGGACACCTGTGCGCCAGATGTGCAGCCTCGCATGCACATGAGCCCCCTGAGCTTTTTCCAGAGCTTACTGCAGCATCCCTCCCCGGGGTCAGGCAAAACAGGCACTGCACAACTAACAAACGACACGATGCCTTCTCCTCCTCCTCGTCCTCCTCCTTCTCCCGGGCTCCTGAGCACTTCCCTTGCAGCAGGGACAAGAGGCAGCTGTGAAACCACAGGCAGAGGGGTGACGCTGCAGTGACAGCACTTGTGGCCACACCAGGCAGTCGGTGCAATGCCTGCAGACCTGAGCAGCACCCCTTTGGGCACCAGATAGATGGGTTGCTCAGCCTCTGGGCACTGTTTACCCGCAGATGATGTTGGAAGCCCAACACATTTACAATACCATCACTTCTTGGTATGAAAGAATAGTCTAGATAACGGCAAGAGGAGCTAGCACAAAATGTGACATGTGGTGAAAAGGGAGGCTCTAGGCTGAGTTGTTCTAATGAGAGGCTGTCAGTGGTTGAAAGAGCTTAGTCAGTGTAGGGCACTATTCAAGCAGAGGAAGAATTTCTGTATTATGCAGCACTCGAGAGATAGGAGTCTGAGCAAAAATGAGAGAGAGAGAGAGGGAGACTGGCTGACAGGGAAAGGAGGAGGGGGCCGCACAAAGGAACAGAAGTGCTTTCTTCAGCTCAAAATACCCTCAGTCTCCCCCAGTTCATGGAGATAACAAACATGCTACTTCTGAGAAAGATGTCTCTCAAGGGCTTAAGTATAAGATCCTGGTTCTCTGTGGAGAAAACACGAGCAGCATGTGGGGGATGGTGTGTTCCCATGAAAAGTGTCTGCGAGTCAGAAAGCCTGGTGGATCTGCTCTGAATTTTGATGCTGTTCCTATGTCCTCTCTGTTTCTCCTTCTGGAAAACAGAGGCAGTGATGCTGCCCTTTTTCTCTAAGGCAGCCTGAGGGTGGTATTTTGGCAGTGCTACAGAATTTTCCAGAGCGGCACTGTCCGCAGGGTGCTGGCAGTGTCCCTGCTCCTGCACGGCCAGGGGGACACCGTGCACCTTGCAGAGGTTGCAGTTCTCTGGCATGGGGAACTGCAGGACACAGCTCACCCAGGGAAAGGGCTGGTCCCAAGCCAAATCCAAATACTTGCTCCAAGATTTTTTTTGCAAGCCTCCAAGGAGACGTCCTACTCCTTTTCTAATCTGTCCTCTTCTCAGCCCCTCTGCAATCTATGCCCACCTGCACTTTGGCACCCTTAAGGACCCACTTGCAGCCTGAGCCATTTCTGGGAAGGCTCTGAAGGGACACTTGCCACAGAATGTCCTCATTATATTTTACTCTCATTTGGCAGGGCAGCGTTTCACTTTAATGTTGCCAAGTGTTCATGATTAGGCACAGAAGTGACAGCTCTTGTAAGACAGGCTGCTCACACTGTTCTAGACACTGCTGTCCCTCACCCACTGTGAAGGTAAGCACTCATCTTCTGCAGCACCTGGCTGTGCAGGGGAAACATCAGGGCTCAGATACACCAGCAACTCTCTAGGGAGTAGGTAAGCCCCTCAGGTCCACTCACCTGCAGGGAGAGTCAGTGTGCACCCCTAAGAGCATCCTTCCACACAGCTTAAGCTGATCTAGCCCAATGACAAATCCCACTCCATGAAGGAGCACTGCTGCCTTTGTGCTCATAAGCTAAGCTGGGCCAGGGAGTTAGACCAGCCAGAAACCATTCACATCTGTGATAAAGACAGTTTATTTAGCTATCAGGAAAAGTAAGTGGAATGGCATTAAAGCTGCTATTTGCTTAGCAAACAGATATGGCCCATCAGTTGCCATGGATTAGCTGATGCAGAATTACTTGTTACTGCACAGTCGCCTGGCAGTGCCTCTGAAAAGGATGCAGGATAAGGCAGCAGTGGATGACTCCTTGCCCTTGGATTAAGACAAGCTGCAAGTAATAGCTTCAAAAGCAGTTTGTGTCTCTCACTGCATCCTGGAAGTGATAAAACATGTGCTGGTCTCATCACTGCAAATACTGCACCATGCAGGTGATATTCCCACCCCATCAAGTGCACTGTATTTCTTCCTACACAATTGTCTGGATTTACAGAGCATCTGTAAAGAACTGGATGGAAATGCTGGCCTCTAAACTTGAACTAGCCCAAATAACACTGTCTTTCTTTTCTCCTTCACAGCATGCTTTATATTTGGGCTCCTTGCTTTCCTTGCCTTACCACTGTCCATGACTTTTATAGGTAAGTTGACAACTAAAGTAAATTGAAAATAGAAACTTCCTGGCACTCTGTGGCAGGTTAACATATTTGGCAGAAGAAAGGAACTGGAAAATTCAGGGTTTCTAACTGTTAAACCCCTGTCTTGGTACTTTAGCTTCACACAGAATCTCAGCCCACACTCTGTATCAGGAATGAAGGAGTACTTGAATTCTGACCCTGTTTATCTTAAAAACCCCTCCAGTGTCTTTTACCTCAAAACCCAGCTTTGTCTGTGGGAGGAAGCTCAGAATCTGACATATGAGAAGATTTCATTACTCAGGATCCCTCTGTATTAACTACACTGCAAAAAATTGTAGAAGCATAGTGCTGGAAGGGAAAAAGAGATGCTGTAGGGTGCTATTTCTCCCTTTTTGAAAGTCAGACCTGGTTTTTGGCTGATCTGCCCTCGAAGGCTGGATTTGTGAGTAGCATTTCAAGATCAAATATTTAAGAAAGGAAAATCCTTTGAGCAGTAGAATTTATACCTTTTTAAACTGCATAAGGCCCCTCTTTTCTTAAGCATCACCTTTCCCTTACCATTAACACAGATCTTTGTTTTTTCTGTAACACTTCATTGCTCCCTTTGGGCCTTTCACATCCTCCATATGGGTTGTGAACCCCACTTGAGAAACATCAGTGGAGACACCAATCCACCTCTGCTTTTAGACAGGCCCATGGGCTCACAGCATCCCTGACAGATGTCTGACTTGCCCTTGCTCAAGGAAATTCCATGGCTTCTCAAGGAGACCATTTCAACATTTTATTGCTCTCAAAGACAAAATATTTTTCCCATATCCAACCTAAATCTTCCCTATGGCAAATGAAGCAGATTACAGCCTGTCCTGCCCACTGTGGTCACAAAAACATATTGGTCACTGTCCTACTCAAGAGATCCTTTGAACTGTTTGAAGGCTGCTGTTATAATCCTGCTCCATCTTCTCTTTTGTTTTCCCAGAGGTCTTAAAAACCTAATTCTTTCATCCTGACCTCACAGGTCACTGCTTCTGTAGCTTTTTTTTTTTTTTCTCCCATTTTTTTCTCCCTCCTTTGACCTCTGTGCAAGTATTTTTCCTTATTAATAAAAGAATGATGTAACACAGGCCTCCAGCTGAGATCTGAGGAATGAGCAGTGCTGAGTAATTAGCTCCTCTGTTTAACATGCAGGATTTCTGTAAACACACCTCAAAATGAAACATGGTCTCTCTGCACCAACCCATTTCCTCCCAAATTTAGTTTATGGTGCATTGTAAGCCCAGATGTTTTTTGGCAGTGCTGCTCCCTACCAGACATACCTCATTTTTTATTTACCTTGAAGTTTCCTCCCCAACACACAGCGCTCAGCTCTATCAGTTTTTGTCTTGTAGATTTTGAATACCTTTTTCCAGTGTATCCAGATCACTTTGAATTCAAAGTCCTCAAGAGCCCTTGTCTTTGAGAAGCTGTTCACCTGGTGCCTCGCTCCTCATGAAGCATGGCCCAAAGGAACTCTAGATGCAGATGCTGAGGGCAAGCTGCATCCCACCTAGACTCAGACTGTGTGCACCCACAGCCAGGCTGAGTGCTGTGTGATGTCCTTGCAGGCTGTTAAGGGAAATGGATGTTCCTGACAGTGAAATTCCCACACCCTCTCTTAGGTGTCTGCCTTGACATGAGGTGACTTTTAAGGCAGTTGGGACACCTGGCCCATTGGCATGGATAGTTATCCAAATCCACATGATAAGTGTTCAGTTAAAGGTTGGTGCTATTCCCTTAATCTGGGGCTTTCAAAGTACCACTCATGACTATGGTGGGATTCCAATTAGGATGTCCTAATTAGGAACCAGGGAGTTCTAACGAGGGATTGGGGAGTAATTTGGAAGTAGCAAAATGGACTGAACTGCTGCATCTCAACACTTCTGCTCTTATATTTATCCATGACTTAAGATTGCTATTTATCCCTTAAGAAGATTCTAGCTTTAGCTTTTCCCCAGGCTGAATATGCCTGAACTGTGAAATAGGGATGGGAAGGTATAATACAAAATGTGGTATGGTTTCCATGCATACTGACATCCTGCCTTCTGGAAATGAATCCAGGTCTGGGATCTGACCACTTACAAATAAGATTTCTCAGGAATATTTCACAGTATCTTTAAGATCAATGAGAAGTGGAAAGTCTATTGTAAGATATTAGCCTGGAGCTCTGGATATCTCCTGCATCAGATACAGAGCCCTTTTTTTCCCCACAATTTACTGAAATTAAGAGATAATATCACTATAATGTAGTGTTGTCAGAGGATATTGGTTTACTGCAGCTCCATATCAGCAAAGGTATTTTTAGGAAAATGAAATGTCAAGGAAAATGCTGATATTTATTTTCCAAGCAAAATCCTATGATTTTCTGATAATATTCTGTTACCACAATCTCAGAAAAAAACTTGCTGATGTGCCTCCAGTCATTTTGGCTCTTGCTTCCTACAGAGGAAAACTGTGAGATAAAATACTTGCTAAAACTCAGAGATGAATAACAGGCAGCCCTAGTAATAATTGCACCCTAACATCATACACTCTTAAAATTCGATAATGCTGTAAATCACAGTATAATTCAAGATACATAGAAAGGAAGTCTCAGCATATTTTCCATGCTGCAGACTTGTGACATTACTTAAGCCATAGATTGTTTAGCAGCTTTTTCACTTTTACTGGCAGAGAAGATCCCTTTTTTCACTAAACACTCTAAAGATATAGAGATTTATTTAAATTTTTTTTAGTTTCCGGGACAGTGAAGGATTACTCTCAATAACCCATTCTTGTATGTTGTCCAGAGTACCTTTATATACAGAATACCCCAAGGGTAGCTAAATCACATTTGAAAGCTGATGACATGGTTTTTTTTTTTTTTAATAAGCAGCCTAAATTGCCTCCTGTTCAAATTTAACCCAGTACTACTCCTCACACTCAACACCAAATAATTCCTCAAATCTCAAATGCTCCTGAGATTTGTCTAAAGCCTACTCTCTTACTCTGTGCCTTTACGTGGGAACCAGTTTTGTGCTTTAGCAGTAGTTGTTTACACAATCTTTCCTTGCATTCCAGTCCCTCAGCCAGTCCCCTGATTTGCTGACATGCTTTCTGATAAATGGTGCCCAAAAGCAATTTCTTTGAGATAAATTCTCTGCAGCACCTAGATCTAAGTGTAAGGCCCACAGTCAGGGCTCGACTGGGGTCTGTGCTAAGTGATGGCAGCTGCAGCCATCCACGAGGAACACCTGCAAATGGCCTGGCATGTTGAGGTCTCTGCCTCCCATTAGGAATAAAGTTGTGTAGTGGGCACCAAAGAGTGGATCAGCCTTGCTATACAGCAGCCCTCCTTTCCTGTGGGTGTACTTCAGCCATTTCAGCTGAGAAGAGTAAAGCAGATAAAAAGAGGCCAATGCTGTATTGCCTTTCCTTCTTCCTGACCCCTCATCTCATGGATAATCATGAGTCACAAGGACACTTGATAGCAATCCTTTATGGGCCATGCCAGAGCACTGCCCCAAATGGTGCCCTTAGAGAAGCCATTGTCCTGTTTGCCCACAAGTGCTCTTTCCACTTGCTGGACCCTGTGTCCTGGATCTCACTGCAGTGTTGTTCTGTGGTAGCCAAGAGGTAAAATGGGCAAGTACCTCTGCTTTCCCAAGCCTCCCATCTCTTGTTTTTTCCCCTTTGGATGCTGTTCAGGCTGTGTCTGATCTTGCACAGGTCTTTGGTTCATTCATTTGGACTCCTGTGCTGGTCTGTGTTGTGGTCAGGCTCAATTGCTTTTCACTCTGAACCACAGATTCCTCTGGCTTGCAGGGAGCACTGCAGTAGAAGCAGACCTTTGATCTCTCATGGTCCATACATCCCATCTCTAGCAGTCAAAGGAGAACATATCTGTTGCTTATGGGAAAGAATCTGTTGCTTTCCAACAAATTTTGGTGCTCCCAGATAAACCACATGCTGTGTGAGAACTGATTGGCACATTTGCTGATTTCACTGTAACAAATACCAGTGCCCATCTGCCAACTGTAGGTCCACATTTCCTATTCACACCTTGGGGTGTATTTTTAAAGTTACTACTGTATCACCTGCTTTGACCTGCTCTTTTGCTGTCATATCTGTCTGCAGTATTCTCCCAAAACCGACGGAGTGCTGCTGTCTGTCACTCAAATCCTTCCCAAAACTGACTGATATCATGTTATATATATATATTTGAAAGGATTCCATAATAGATTTGTCTGGGAAAGAGAATCGGAGCAGCATGACAAAAAAAAGAAAGGCATTTTTTTCTCAACTTTTTTTTCCCCCTCAAATTGAAATCTCAGTTAATACATTGGAAATAGAAATTGCCTAGGTTCCTAAACTGAAATATATTCCCAGTGATCCCTGGCCAGCTGCTTTTGTGGCAGGCTATTAGATGGCCAAGAACTTTAGAAACCTTGGAAGCAGCTTTCTGGTGAATTCGATGTAATTTGTGACAATTTCCCTGCTGCCCACCCCTGTAAAGCTGGGAGTCTGAGCATGTCTCAGTGTTACATAGGGGCAAAATGGACAAAAAAATCACAGCTTTGTAATAAGAATGAAAGGGGAGAGAGTCCAAATCCATCTAAGTGCAGCCTTTTTCATTTATACAAAGGTTGGTAATAAATGCTTAGTATTGATGAGTCCATAGCCCTTACACACAGGGGATCACAAAACTGCAGACCACAAAACACTGTCCCATGTCCTGTGACTAAAGTCAGACCTGTAGCAAGCAACCACAAGCCACAGCACCTGTGTTATGCCATGCAAAGAGTGCAGGAGAGGTTCAGGACATGAGCAGTGTTATGGACCAGCACTAGCAGTGGATTTGGTGGGCAAATTGACAAGCTAAAGAGGATTACAGCTATATTAAAGAAAAACCAAAACAAAACCAAAAAAACTCCAAAGCAACCAAAAAAACTCCACCAAACCAAAACCCACTGGTACTTTCTTAATTCCTCCTATTCAGTGTAGTTCTGAAAATGGAAGCAAGATGTTTCACCTGAGAAATGTTGAGCACTATGACTTGCACGTTCCTTTTGGTATCCTGCAACTAGATAACCCCAATTATTCAAAGAAAAGTCAGAATACCTCCTTGTAAACTATTTATATAGCAAGAAGAACACAGAAAATCCTTTCTACCCTGTGCAACTGATCTGTCAAAGCCCTGAAACACGGGATAAATATCAATAAAATTACAGTGTAATATGAACTGTTTAAAATTTCTGAAGATGCCATTGGGTAAGAGACTTGGGCAGAGGATTCATCCCAGCTAATTTACAGGTATCTACAGCTGGCTGTCTGGATTCCTTGTATAGCCATGGAGAGACAGAAGCCCTTTCAGGAACCAACTCACCCGACCCATTTCAAATGCCTATCTTAGGAAAAATGAATTGAATTTTACAAGTGCCTATTTCTCCCTATTGACTTCAGAGTGTAGAAAACTAGTTCACGTATGGATGCCTGCATTGCAGACATCTATATTTGGACAGATGAGTTTCACTGCCACAGACCTGTATCACAAGCTTCAGTCTCTACTGCCAGCAACATCCTCACATAGCCATACATTTTCTTCCCTAAAACTTACCCAACTTTCTCTTTCTTGCAGTAGATTTGAGGGTTGCCAGGGTCCTCAGCTCCATAACAACCAATTCTTTTATCCTCCGGCAACCGAAACAGCTTGGAAACTTGAGCTTCCACAGCTCCCTATCAGCTGCCGGGAAAGCTAAAACAGTTCCAGGTGCACCCACGGGTATTGGCTCCCAAGCTTCCAGGCATCTGACTCAGGAACATGCCATACTTATAGGAACTAATGAGCAGGAAAATCCTGGGGGAAGTTTATCAGAATTCCTTTTTTTGTAGTTTTGATTTTCAGCAAATTTTCTACCACTGATTTCCTGTCCAGCTCAGTCAATGGTTCATTTAACAAAGAGCTGTGGCTGAAGCTAATGACCTCTATATATGGCTGCAATTAGTGTTGCCAGAAAATAGTAATGTTGGTTTTGCCTTTGCTATCTCTCTTCCTTCTCCTGCCTTTTGCTTGTTCATGGCCCTCACTCCTCTAGTGGGAGGTGCAGCCCCCTGTTAATTCAGCCCCCATTTCAGCAGACACAGGATACAAGTCTTGGGTGTAAGCAAGACATTTCACTTACAGCATCTATAATTCTCACTGTACAGCTTGTTGCAATATCTGGTCACTTGAGATAACAAACATCCATTTTTGCCATTCAGGAATGAAGTTTTTGGAAGATTGCCCAGTTCAGCCACTGATTCCCTTGTATCTGTTGGTGGGTGGCGTGATTGGCAGCTTAAAGGTAATGTGCCTTCTGTGTGTGAAAAATATTTTGTGTGACTCGACTTTGACTTGCTAGTTAAGACATGATGATAGCTCCACACAGCCACATGCACCCAGTGCTGGAGAGCTACAGGATCAGGCTGTGCTTGTTCCAGCACCAAAAGCACCTGTCAGTCAAGTGAGCTGCTAATGAGCTCAGCATTGTCCCACACATTGTGGTGTGACTTTCTCCTGCACCACAGCATCTGTGCTACCATCCCTGCTGAGGGAAATGACTTCTTAACATGGATGCCTGTCCTTTTTCCATAAGCAGTCCTCCAGGCATGTCAAATCTTTCCCCATTACTTTCATACAGACAGGACAAAAAGCTAAGTTACTCTCCTTGCTTTGGGAGTACTACAAAACCACTTGTGTTTGTACATAGTCTTCCACAAGTTCAATTTACTCCCACTCTGACCTGGCCAGAAGTAAATGACTGCAGCAGAATCATTTCCTTCCAAAGTAAATATATCCTTGCAACACAGCAGGGCTTATTAATCTAGATGCACCATTTTCTAACCACAGCTATCTGTCTTCTAGTGGACTGTGCTCACTTATATCTTTGCTGAGCCCCAGTCTGGCAGTTTGAAAAGTAGAGGCACCCTCATAACTGTGATAAACCTGGTCACTATAAAGCTATGCAACTCTGCATTGACTCTAAAGGATCGTCCCTGTTCTGACAGTCCCTTTGCAGATGGTGTTAACTGGCTTTCAGGAAGCATGGAGAGCTTCACCACAACAATTCTAGCCATTTTCTTTGCCAGGACTGAAAGAAAGAGGAAAGAATCCTACTCTGCAGGTCTCTGCATTCACTGCACTCTTTCAAAGTGGTAACCCAACAAAACCACAGTACATGACTGGGATATGAATCATGCCCTCCAAGGACCTTTGGTCAGTAAATAAGAAAATGGAAAAAAAAAAAAAAGAAAGTGCTTAATCTTGTTACAAGGAATTTGCTGCATTGTGAGTTCTACTGGCAAATGCTTAGTCATTCGATCACACCAGTGGACTTATCTGTATAATCAAAGGTTCATTTAATAATAGTTTAGAAAATACTAGAGCAGAACTGAAAGGCAATTTTGAGGCTAGTGGACTGAAGCTTTCATAAAAAATGTTGACTTGTTCTTGCCATTTCTGTTAAAAGTCAGTTTTTCTCACTATAACTAAGGTGGCACATGGATCAGTTGATATTGATGCTGACATCAAATAATGCTTTGAATTTTACTTCAGTTGACAGCAGGACTGCTTAATTTGCAGTTTGGCAATGCATTTGGTCAGAACTTGATTAGCTTCACTCACGTGTTATCTCAGCACTTGGTCTGCAGCCAAATTCAAGTCTCTCGTCCGTCTGAACTGTGCCCTCTGTTCTGTTCACTGGACTGCACTGACTTCATCCAGCAGTGCCCTTGCTTGAGCTCTGAAAGTTAAAAGGTCACAGAATGGGTGCAGGATGAAGTCTGAAAGGATGCTGTCCCATGATGGACATCATCTAATAGCAAGTCATTCTAGCCCAGATCTGTGCAGTCCGTAGGCTCCTCATCTATTTCTTTACCACCTCCAGTCTTTTAAAAAGCAATGGTAACTGTTCACCAAGGCAACTGAACCATCCTAGAGCACCCAGAGAGGCCTGTTGAATTCATGCCATGCTGCTCCATAAATGTATGTTCAGCAGCTAGTAACAATGTGAGCGACTGCCAGCAATTTCTTCAATCATGCTTGGCAAGGCAATATCCATAAGAATTAAATGCACTTTCTGTGAACTACTTAAATGCAGTTGAGATTCATAAATCTACCTGGGAGGTCTCTCTGACTGCCTCAAACCCAGTACTCATCTGCCATTTAACCCCATTCTCACTGCTGAGCTTGAGAGAACCTGAGTGCTGAGCTGAAAGCTAAAAGGACTGAAGCACAGCCCCAGGCACCCTCATGCAGAAACCTCAGAGCCACTGGCCAGGCAGGTTTATCCCTTCAGTGCCTCATGAGTCTGTGTAAAACAAATGTTCATATGAGAAGATGATAGGCTGAGCAAGCCTGTTGCTTTGAGTGCTCAGCTGGATGTGAGACATCAGTGGAAACACTATTTTTTTGCCTATGTTGGTGCTCGGACTTTAAACTGTGTTTCTCAAAAACTGGTAACAACATCTGGGCTGGAATACCAGTTGGTTTTGTAAACAGATATTTAATAATTTATATATAACCAAACAGTTTTCCAGAGAAGAGTAAGAATAAGAGAAAACTCTGTATTTCTGGATTCTCTTGCTAAGCTTTTCCTATTGAAAATGGGGCACATGGAATAAAATCTGAGCCTGGAAAAATATACACCCGAACAGGTTTTCCTTGGCCAGTGTTCTGGAGAAAGAAGAGTGTAAAATGAGGGATGCTGTTCTCTTTCATTTCAAGCAGAAAAATGAGCCCAGATTATAACTCTGTGAAAGAGAACATGACAGAGAACTCCACTGAATCTACCTGTGTTCTTTGTATTGCCAAGACTAAATGAGAAATCCAGGCATCACTGATAAGTCCTACTGCATTTCCCTGTATACCAACCCTTCCTAACCACCTGGCATCATGGCATTCCACATATTTCTCTGCTAGTTTTAACTGAAGGCAGGAATGGAGCAGTCTGAGAAAATGGCACTTAATTGAAGAAAATTTGACAACAGTACATTGCAAGCATCTAAAGCAATTTCTTTGAGGTTTAAGTCATAGTCTATATGCTTTATAATTTGCTATAAACTGATCCAACTTTATAACCATGGAAAAATAGAGTTAGAAGAGAAAAATCTACCCACTACAAGACAGGAACTACACTACTTAAGTAATTTAGCAGTTACTGTAATCTGTTCTTAAAAGTCTCCAGCGTGGGAGCTGCTGCCATCTCCCTACACAATCTGTTCTCATGCCTTCCCATCAGCAATTTTTTCCAGTGTATGACCCCCACTGGTGAATAACCTATAAGGAAAAAACGCATTATTTCCCAGCAGTACCTGCCTCATTTGTGGCTCCTTAACTTTCTATTTTCCCACATCCAATTTTATTTGACCCAAAGACTGGCAGTGGCCAGAAGGTGTTCAGACTCTCTGCAGCCACTTTACTTATTCCCTTTTCTCCCCCCATGCCTCCAGGTGACTCTCCTGCTGTACGACTCAACCAGGATGAGGCAGCTGCTTTCCAAGTCTGTTGTGATTGATGATGATGATGATGACGAGTATCCCTGGAGGCAGAATGCTCACAAGTACTACGTCCATCTAACCCTCAGCCTTTTCCTCTTTCTCTGGTTCATTCTTGGGAACTACTGGGTTTTTTCTGTGTATCTGCCAAATTTCATCCCACCTTTTCATCAGCCTCAGGATTACTGTGACAAAACCCTGTACATTTTTGCTGTTGGTGTTCTCATTATTAGCCATACTGTTCTGTTTCTCCTTATCTTCTGTAGCTGCTGCATATACTGTTTTTCCAGGCAAAGATTCTCTTCTGAGGAAGACTAAATGCTACATAAATAAATCTCCATGTTTGGGAAAGCGTGTACAACAAAGAACAGGCAATAATTCACCCTTGTGTACATCTTTGTTGTATGATATATATGTATGATAGCAGTCAACTTCAAGGGGAAATCAAAAAATACAGTGCCATCTGGAAATAGCTATGCTGGAATACAGCATAGTCTATGCAAAAATGCTGCTGCAGGTGCCAGGGTGTACTCCAGCTAACTTTTACATCCCATTTTTTAACTCTGGATGTTTTACCAGGAGGGAGCTCTTGCAGATGGCAAACTCCTCTAAAACCAGATCCCCCTTATGCTGTATATAGCACAGTACATTTTTGCCTATAAAAGTAGCCATGTTGTTCTCTTCACTGGGATCTGAACATCTCCACACAGTCTTGCTGAGGTTTGCTATTGTCCCTGAGTTATAGATGAGGGAGCTGAGACAAAGGGTTGTACTCAGGCCACTTTGCAAAGCACATGGACTCTGTGACTCTGACAGTAACTGAGATGCTCACTAGAGAGCTATTCAGGCCCCTGTCAGACTGGCCAGTAAGCAGCTGTGATAGCAATAGGAGCTTGTATAAAATGCAGCCTGAATATGGCCTTCAGGTCTCTTCTGAACTTGGACCAGGAAGCATCTATATCTAACTTTGGGGCTAAAGCAGACAGTATGAATACATCCATATATGTCCAATACGTCCAAAGTGAGCCAAGGCTGCTTTGCAAGTCTTTGGCAGAACAAAGAACTGAGCTACTGAGTGTCAGACTGGTGCTTCAACAGGGCTCAGCATTCCCCAGTCAGGGGATACACTTTCTATAGCAGTAATTTGTCAATACCACACTAACACAAAAATTACTGTCAAACCATTGTGATCAAGTTCATAGAAAAACTGATAATGTTACCTTGGTATTTTGAATATAGACCACAACAATAAGACTTGGGTGGGGATGTGAGAATTTCAGGCAGATGTACTCTCTACAGCAGTTCTCTGGTTGTGGTGTGAATGTACATTTGATTTGTTCATCTTGGTGCTGTACATATGGAAATCTGTACTTAATGGACAGATGCAATGCAAGCAGTTTTTCAGTCAGCAGCAGCAGCTTTAAAAGCACCAGCATGCAGAGAGACAATTTTTTTTTGTGACACGTAATGGAACAACCCCAGAAGTGGTCCTGGTAAATTGTTTTTTCATGTGTTGATGAATGCGCTGTAAAAGTGCTCTTTCTGCTTTTGCTCTTATGCACTTATGTCAATGTGGTCAAAATGGAGGGGCTCCCCTCTGGATGAGCTTGAGGGTGGCCCAAGGCACAGGAAAAGATGTGTGTTTTGTGTATTTTGTCTGTTAAAACCCACACAGCTGAAACTTGTGTTTTAGAGAAATCCAAAAGGGTTATAAAATGCCTGTGAAAAAGTGAGATATGTAAAAGAGCTCAACAATATGCCACAGCTGAACAGGATCTGCTCAACCATCCTTCCTGGGACTGAGCCTGAGAGCAGTGTAACATCTGTGGGAACCACCTGTCTTCAAACAAGAACACAGATCTCACCAGCTATTGTATAGACAAGCCTGAATTTGGTTTACAAGGATTTTAATTCAGGCCCCAGATTTATGAACTGTTTATTTCCAGAGAACTAATCTTAGAAAGAAGGTAGGACAAAGATGAAATAATCTGACATGAGGGCAGCATCAGTGTAGCATTCCCCTGCTCTGCTGCATCCATTCAGAACAGGTCACAGCCAGGCTGCCCCATTCAGAAACCCATGGAATAGGTATTACTATTATTGCTGGCTTAGGCCATGCACAGTTTTATGTAGGGAAATGGGACCAGTGGAAATCTTTCCTTTTATTTGTGGGCCTCATATTGGATCTGGGAAAAAAATCACTGGCTCTGTTTCCCAAGGAGCTGCTCCACCACACTCTCCACTGCCCCTCACTTTTCTGAAACATAACTGCTGCCAATGGTAAAATGCTACAATTCCTCTTTCCCACCACAAACATTACAATGGCTCACCACTTGGGCTTCAGGATTTCAGGGTTCAGTTCTGAACTGATCTATGGGATTTTACCTTCAGTGGAGAGCATCTTTCATTTGTTAAGAACCCAAAATGTTTAAGAAATTGCCTATCAGAAGGCGTAACTCCATCCATCACTCAAATGCAACAGAGCAGCTGTTTATCATTACACAGGAACTTCACCCAGAAGCCTGGAACAGGCATAAAACCAGAAAATTATACTCAGTTGTCAGTGCAAAAGAAATTTAACAAAAACGTAGCTCCACCCATAGGTCCCCTGTACAAACTTCCCAGTTGGAAAATACTGCTAGAATCACTCTTAATCACCAGGAATTAAGGGCTAATACTCCTGACCTAAGTCTGAATTGACTGTAGTGACCTCACAGCAAGTGATGATGTTCTCCTATTGGAGCAAATAAGAGGAGATTTTAGTTCAGCCCAGAGGAGAAGGGCTGTAAGGTGACATTGCCTTGTGTTTGCTGTGTGCTTTTGTGAGCATGGTTACAGCAGCTCAGCAGATGTGCAATGATTTGCCAAACTTCAGCCACACAACAGTAAACCTGAGGCCTCTGCCTCATTCATGGAGGCTAAGATTGACTGATTGTCTACAGTCTGACATGGAGGATTAATTCTTCAGATATGGGAACCCAGGGCATCCACTGACATCTTGGGAAAGTGCTGCTAAGTCACTGTGCTAGTGTTCAACACCTGGTTGGTAGAAACACAAAATTATAGAGGTTGTATTAATGAGGCAAAAGACATTTTTGAAATACTTTGAAGTTATACAAAATTAACAAAACCAAAACACTTTGCTACAACCAAGAGAGGAAAATTCTGCACTGATAATATTTACCTTTACCTTGTATACATCAATACACTATGGCACATTCAAGTGAGAACATCAACACCTCCAAAATAATTGGAGCCATCAATTCTGTGCCCAAAGGGATCTAAGCATGCCTTCTGCACTTTCAGCAGACTGGAATCTTGCAGGACTGGAGCAAGGATACTTAATTTGGGCCTGTGATTAGATAGGCACCTGAGTCACAGTGACTCTTCTGACCCACCAGCTGCATAGTTTCTCTCAAGCTGCCCCAGTAGCACTCAAATCTAAATGAAAACAGTTTAATTGAAGATGCTTTATCTCACTTAGGGGCAAGCTATGAATGTGTGCATGGTCCACAGCACCTTAACTTGCAGCAGTACTTTGAATTACCACAAACTGATGCTGTCCCAGACAAATGCTCAGGCCCTACAGAAGTAGGTGTGGTACCTCAGCAAACAGCTGTGGGGGAATTAAGTCATTACAGCCCAAAGGTCAAGCAACTGAAAATACAGTCTACACCTTAAAATGTTTAATTTGAATTTTGCCACTAGACTAAAATTACAAATTTAGAATGTTAATTTTCTTCCCACAGTTATATAAATGTCTACTGAAAAACTGAACAAAATAAGCTAATTATTATGCACTCAACGTTGACTACAATGCAGGAAAACAGCTCTGTTTCAGTTATATCAGCTCCCCTTCTTGAGAAGGAAAGCTCTATTTCCAGTATTTAAAGGAAAAAAATATACATTACTTCAATGGCTAGGATAGCCAGCTCACTGCTAGTTGTGAGTACTACAGAAATCTAGTAATATGAAGACCCAAAGACATTCTGCCTGCACACACTGACTCTATACACACACATACAAGTGCACTGTCAGGAGCCATGAAACTAGTTACACTTATTACAGTTTATTGCCCACAGTGTATTTGTCCTCCCACTACTCCACCTTCTTTGGCAATAGGCGTAAGATTCCAAAGCTCTAGAGAGTAGCTTTCCACAGCTATTTTAGAAGCAGCAGACAGACAAGCAATCCTTCACTCCAAATGTTGAACACAGACAGCTCCTACCTGCTGGCCCAAAGAAGAGAGAAAAGAAGAGCATCAGACATGCCACAGACCTCATCTTCTCAGGACTGGAAACCAGAACGCTGTGCTGTCAGAGAAGATGATCTCTCTCACAGAGCACTTGCTCTGAGCTTTATGAGGTCCCAAGACATCAGACTTAAAACTACAAGGTAACTGTGCAGAAAAAAAATTAACCTAGAATAGCTTCTGCTTCTTTGTGCCAAGAGCTGTTTCAAATGTCCCAGATCCTGAAATAGGAACAGTTGGTGTAAAAGATCCTAAATGCTTTGACTTTACAGGCAAAGGGCTACAAAGATGAAACTGATGATAACTCATATATATTGTGCAACATTTTAAACTAGACCAGTTTCTGTAAGTTTTCTTGAATCTTTTCTCAGATAATTAATATTCTCCAAATTCTAGTTGGTAGGGACTTTGCAACACAAGGAGGACGCTTCTATTTCTACATGTAATGCAGAAATGATTGTTACATCGGGACTGCGATTTGAAACTGTTGCTTGGTGGCATAGATTTCTTCAGGTTCCTGTTCGCTGCTGGAGTAGATGCAGATCCCTCAGGTATCAGCCATAGGAAGAAACAGAAAATGTTTTTAGAAAGTATAGTACTTGAGGGAAAATAAAAAAGGCTGGCAAGTGCCATCTGATATTGCATAGTACAAGGAAAGTGCTGAAAAGAACAATGTCATATTGAAAGATTTCTGAACAAATTATATGGAATTCTGAGAAATCATGTATACGTGTTTGTAACAATGAATTTCTACCAAATGTCTCATTTGAATAAAAATGAGTGTAAGTGCATATGACTATGTGACTGCAGTCTAAAAATTAAGGTTCTTTACATTTACCAGTCATGATAATTTTAATCAAGCCTGCTGCAATTTTGCTGAGATGAATAGTTATATCAGAGACTGATTTCGCCCACAGATTTGAATCTCAGCCATACTGGCTCTTCTGTATGATTAGTAATACTCCAGCCAAGGAAGAATCCATGATTCCCTTCCCCATGCTGCAGAACAGCAGCTCAAATGTGAGAGATGAAAACTGGGGGCCTGCAAATCACCATACAAGAAAGCTTTCTTTTTACAAGGTCCCCTTAATGCCCAGATGAGTTAGGTACCTGCATGTGGAAGGGAGCCTACAAAAAAGATGGAGAGGGACTTTTTAGAGCATGTAGTGACAGGATAATGAGAAATGGCTTCAAGCTGAAAGAGAGTAGGTTTAGGTTAGATTATAGGGAAAAATTCCTCACTCTAAGAGTAGTGAGGCACTGGAACAGGTTGCCCAGAGAAGTTGTGGGTGCCCCATCCTGGAAGTGTTTAAAGACAAATTGCATAGAGTACTGGATAACCTGGTCTTGTGAAACATGTCCCTGCCCATACCAGGGGGGTTTGAACTACATAATCTTTAATGTCCCTTTCAATGATATCTTACGGATTTGATTGCCAGTCCTTTTGAAAAATATTTAGCCTTTCGGTGTAATATGAAATGAGTACACAGGATGCAAACAGTGGAGAAAAAAAGTCCACTATTCAGTCTTATTCACAAGCTGCTATAGACAGCACGTTTTTATTATCACCGTTTACTTTTGTATTCCTATTCTACTTCTGCTTCTGGATTTCACAACAGTAGTTCATAACAGACAATATTTATTTTCAGAATGTATCAGAAAAAAAGAGTGGCTTCAGTATTTTTTGTGAACTTGTTTTTTGTAAACAAAAAAAAGTGTCCAACTTGTCCAGGTGAAATAAGACTTCAAGTAAACAGGTCTGGTGCTTATTTGCATGGGAAGGTTTGGCTCCACAGCTTTGCATAGATAAATTTCATATATGTCTGCAAAAAAAGTGTAGCAGGACTCACCTGAGTTGATAAGCCTGTAAGCATTCCTGTCCAACAGCTAGTAGTAAGAACAGTAAGATCCAGAAGAAGAGTAGTAAGAAGAAAAACAGGTAGCTGAAGAAAATGTTAGTATAGATAACTGCATTACTGCCACAGCCTAGCAATAAACACCTATGCATTCAAGTATATTGTTTACAGTAGGAACATAAAGAATTTTTCAGTCATGGAAATCACAAAATTTTCTTTTATTGACTAAAGAAATTATTCTCTAGGATGCATACCAACCATAACATTTCACTTTTATTACTTTGAAAACATTCCTAAGCCATCCTACTATTTTTAAAATAATTATATACACTTCAGCTTGCATAAATTATTTTATATATAGTAGATGAACTAGGTTAGCAGCAGGTTTAGCTGCTTCCCCCAGCCAATACTTTCTACTTTGGGAGGACACTAAGCAGACCTTCTCTTCACCAGGACATGCCTGACCCTGGGAAGCCCTGCAGGCTCCCAGAGATCAAGGCCCTCAGCAGTTCATAAAGCAAACCTATACTTCTGATAAGGCACAGCATGAGATTCCCTTTACTGGCCCCTGAGCAATGAGTAATAGATATGATGACATACAGCCACACTTGTTCCTCAGTAATAAAAGGCTATTTGGTCTGGGGAAAGCCTGACTCTTCACTGGAAACAACACTGCTGATGACAGCAGCTGGCAAACTTGGTTATGACTTGGGTACACAACAAAGGAAACACCCTACTGTTCACAAAAACACAACACAGGCCAGAACTTCCACCCTTCCCTGCACTCAGGATGAGCAGCTTTTGCTCTCTCACCCTGCTACTACCACAAGCACTTCAGACACATCCCTGAGACCTCAGGGACTTCATGTTCTTCTTCAACCACTCACCAAACCATCTCCTTCATCCAGACAACAGGACAAGTGTCAACTGCCTCTCCCCAGGCTGCTGACAGCTCTTGATTGCTATTACACTGACTGGGGCTGTGCCAGGTTTCTAAAGCACAGTCTTCAGGTATTCTACAACCAGACCTGAGGCCAGCATGGTAAAAACAGGGTTGGGAGCAGCTCCCACCACAGTGGCTTGCACACAATTGCCACTTCTTTTGGAAACCTGGCCCCAGTTATAGATGCAGAGCTTTCCTGCAAACCTGGCCCTTAAAGCCTGTGCCTGTTCCCACTGCAATCAGTGGCAACTGAATCAGTTCTGATTGATTTAATAGGGGCAGGCATAGAGACTTAATTAGAAAATTAGTAACTGCAAGGAAAGGAGGGAATGCCCAACAGCCTGCCAGATCCCTGAAAGGAAGCAAAGGAGCCAGTTGTCCTTAATACCAAGTTTTTAGCCTCTCACCAAAAAAAAAAAAAAAAAAAAAAAAAAAGGAGAAAAAGGATAATAAAAGAGATTGGCAAAATGGCCTTGAAGCTGTTTTAAACATCTTGTATAATATATAATTGCTTCTCAGCTCTTGAGCACTCTACTTTTAGATCTGTCCTCTGGGAAGAAAATATGAAACACACTGAAATGCACAACCCTTAACAGCAATCAGCATTTTCAACTTTCCTTTGTGCTAGAAGTAATTAAAACTTTGCTTAAAACTTTTTGCTATTTGACAGGTACAAAGACAAATCAAGTCTCAGGTATGTTTTTCATGTTAGCCCAGCAGAGCGCCAGAGAGGTATTTTTCACCAGCTCTTGTGTTTTAAGAAAATTGAGATCCTCAACTCATTACTCCATGAAAAATCTTAATGCCTGGAGGCTCACAGCCACAACACTCCAGAATTTTTATGTACTTGGAGGATTACCTGCAGTCATGGAGGGCTTGCATAACAGGCTTGGGGGCTATTTGCACACTGGTAAATGCCAGCATCAGAACACAGGACCACCAGGGCCAAGCCAAGATGTGCAGTGTTAACTCTCGTGCATCCCCATCTGTGTTTGGGAAAAAAACAACACCCTTTGAGCAAACTATTCACAATGACATTTGAGCTTGTTTTGGACAGAAGCATCTGCTTAATACCTACTGTGACCTGGGCATCAACAATCTTTACCTGTGGGCAATAAGAGGATCAAGGCCTGGAAATTTGCAATAGAGCACTTGAGAGCATAGATATAGGGTAAGAATTTACTTGGATAAGTTTTATCAGGGATAAACACTGAGTTGTGTTTATTAGCCTGGGTGAAGCCATTTTGTTCTGTCCTCAAATGAGGGAAATATTAGGAGCTCAAGAGTCTCTAGCTCTCCCACTTTCAGCTCTGTATGACACAAATATACCAGTTGCTGGCTCTGACAGGGGTCTGAGATGTAGGATGCCAATCCAAGAGAAAAAGTCTTTGTCTAAAAAAATCCTTCATGTTCAGAGCAGCATCCTGTTGGAGTTAATTGCTAAGCTACCAGCAGTCAAGAATGAAACCAGAAGATAAAACTTTTTGAATTTCCAAAGCTCCAGAATAGGTTTTAATTCCGTTAACAAGATGTATCAACCTAGAATTCAGTACAGAAGGCAAGACATGCGGTCAAAACTTTTGAAGTGGGCAGAAATTTTGCCCGTGAGAATACTGAGGTGCAGGCCCTTCATTAGCAGCACCCAGCTCTTGGCAAAATTACATCTTGCTTTTTTCCTGTAGAACCCTTCATCACTGTGATGGCTCGGTTAGCAGAGAGCACTTACACAGCCTCTACAGCCTCCTGCCTCTGGAACAACAGTACAGAAGCAAAACACTACAGGGGATGAAATGAGGCAACAGAAACATCTAGGTGGTGTTAGGACAGTGTACAACAGCTTACTTTTGATGTGAAGGTTGGACTTGATGATCTTGGAGGTCTTTCCTAACCTTAATGATTGATTCTATGAGGCTGCTGAGACAGACAGAGTGCTGCGACAGTTCATTTCTGGGTGCAAGCTTAGCCCTTCAGTACAGAAAAAGCAAGTGTTTCTAAGCAGAAATGTCACAGCTGAATGTACTCAGGGATTGGTGCACTCTGGAAAGGGCATAATTTCTGGGCATTTACAAAATGTCCTTAAACCACCATTTGTTAGAAGGGTACAGCTACACATTGCAGTAGGGGCATTGCAGTATTTATGTAATATTCTCTGAGAAAATTGTGTATGTACCAGGATGACACTGGTAGCCAACATTACATTCAAACATCTTCTGTAATTTCAGTATGAGTAATATGCTGTAATTGCCCATTACTGCTTAACCCCCAAAATATTATGAGCTGCTCCCATTCTCCGCCTGCCATAATCTCTTTTTGTGTCTGACTCATGGACAGCTTCTGCCAGGCATACTCACTTTGGTTAGCACCTCAGGGCTGCATCAACCAGCATCATGCTGATCACAGTCCAAATGGTTCAGCCTGTGAGGAATTCTGTGTATCTGCATGCACCCCATTTACTTTCAGAGGCTGGCAGACTGCAGGGATGAACTTCCCAATTTATGAGAACACAGGCTGGAACTACAAACAAAACACATCAGAGACATCATCCCATTTTGCTTGTACTAAGCCATAATCACAGTTCTTAAGAAATAAATAGGGTAAACACAGAAATGACAAGGGAATACTGTCTTACTGTATTTAATTTTTTTAATAGAGTCTTTCAATTGTTTTAAAAACGAGCATTTTTAGATTTCATGGAAAGGTACAACATGTAGCTGGATGGCCTCTGCATGGAAGAAAATATCACTGTTAAAATATGTCTCTTTGCCCTCTAGAAACTGTTACTTCACATATAATGTACAGTACAAGCAGACGGAGGTGAGTTCAAAAGTTGTAACTTCATGGTGGGAAGTGCTTTTTGTATGAGCCTAATACTCAAGTATCATGCTGAGAAAGTGGAAGACTTCAGTACAAGGCATTTGCCAGAGCAAAGAGATTTGGAGATTTAGAAAAAGAAGTATCAGGCTATAATAAAGAATCAAAAAAGAGAGAACATCCCCATTTCTCCACTATCTGTGTTATTGAAATCAGGTAACTTAAGCTCTTGAAAACATACATAGGGTTCCCAAAGGAGCTTCTCTGCATGTGGCCCTGTACACCCTATAAAATACGTGAATTTATCCAACCTGAACCCAGAACTTTCTAAGCACATAGACCTTTTGCATAATTAAAAGTGTAATTATAGCTATAATGACAATTTCCTTATTGCTGATGTGGGCTATCCAGATGCAGCTCCAAGTGCTTCTCCTGGGTTTCATAGGTCCAAAGTATATAAACAGAAAACACTTTGAATTTCACTCCCCTTAGTGCAACAGCCACTCGGGTATCCTTTCCTTACTGGAATACTTCACTTCACCAGTAGGAGCTAGGTATTTAATGGATTTGTTATGTAAAACACTACTTCACGTGGCACGGCATCATTCTTCATATTTCTCTGGGAGCATCCCTTTGGCAGCTTTCCAGGGCAGAGGATGCAGGCCTGTAGCACTGCTCCCCATTCCCAGAACACAACAGCCTGTTTCCAGTCCTGCCTTAGCCGGCAGCAGCATCTGCCCCAAGCTGGAGCCCTGGGAAATCCTCCATCCTTCCTCCGCCACCACCTTCGCCAGACACAGCCGCCTGCAGCGAGGCAGGGGCTGGCTACAGCTATCCCTCATGGCTAATGGAGGAGAAAACAGAAAGGAAAAGAAGAACCAGCCCACGAATTGCTGCTAAGAAGGAAGCTGGCACCACTACCCCCACTGTCACACTCGCTGCACTGCCTCGCACCCTCCCTTTAGCGCGGCCGGGCCGAGGGGAGCCGCCCCTCAGGCCTTATCTAACGCGGCCGGGCCGAGGGGAGCCGCCCCTCAGCCCTTATCTAACGCGGCCGGGCTGGCCGGGAGCTTTATGTAAGGCAGAGGCGGGGCCGTCCCGGCTGCGGGGGTGGCGGCAGCAGCAGCGCCATGTCCTGGTACCGCAACACCGTGTGGTTCGTGAAGGGGCTGCGGGAGTACACGAGGTATGGGCGGCGGCCGCCCGGGAGGCGGCGTGGGGCGGGCGCAGCGCCCGGGTCGGGCCGCTCCTGTCTATCGGCGGTGAGGCCGTGTTCATGTGGTGTTTTATGGACGGCTGCCCGCCCCCGTGAAGGCGGGCGGATGCCAGCCCCGCTCGCTGAGGGCCGCCCGGCCCGGCCCGCCCTGGGGCTCCGGCCGCCCCCCGAGGGCCGAGGTCGGGGCTGGGTGGGCTGGGGCGGCCGAACACCCCCGCGAGTTGACGCTTTGATTGCAAAGCACGGGGGCAGGCTGCCCGGGGAAGTGATGCGGACACCATCCCTGGAAGTCTTGAAAACAACCTCTGGATACGGCACTTGAGGCCGTGGGTGAACGTGGGTTGATGGTGGGACTTCATGATCTTAAGGATTTTTTTCCAACCTTAATGATTCTGTGATACATTGCTGTTCGCAGTGTCACTGGTATTCATGGCTTGCCCCATGGGTACAGAGAGTAAATAGGGCAATTACTGGATGCTGAGCTATGAAAGTGCTTTTCACCCACACATGTGTTTGTTTTGGAAGGGCTCGCTTCTAGTTTCTCACAGGTGTCTCTTGATTTGTTCAGAGGTGGTTATGAGTCTGCTTCCAAGCGCTTCAACCCAGCTGATGTGGAGGTGGATGTGGCTGGAAGATCCTTCCTGGTCACTGGAGCAAACAGTGGCATTGGCAAGGCCACGGCCAAGGAGATAGCGAGGAGAGGTGAGCAGGGCTGCCGTGGGGCTCCCAGGAGGCTTACAGAGAAGATGGAAGGCAGGTTTAGCCTTCCAGCACTTGCACACAAACACAAATCCCTGGGATGTGGCATCATTTCACAGGGGTCTTAGTGTGGGTTAGAGGTTTAAGCCCAGTCAGTGCAGTGAAAACTGGGATAAGGAGAGGAGCTGCAAATTATTTTTCAAGTGCATGTTTGCCAAAACTATCTGTGTTATACTGGCATCTAAGGATGTTGGTGACAGATCAGTGTCTGTTTAAGGTTAATTTGGTACAAGTAGCAGCCTGGCTGAATTTGAACTGAGGAATCTGCAAATCTATGATATGATGAAAGAAAACAATTGTCTTTACAAAAATGAGATGGAAGAGCATTAAAAACCCCAGTGTAACTGTTCTTGATTTTAATGATAATACCCTGGAGTTTGTGCCCTTTGGCTGATTACATGTAATTATGTTTTTATGTTGCTATCTGTACACAAGGACATGGTGTAAACTAGGCCTAGCTGCTGCTGAAGGATAAACCTAATCCCTTACAGAGTTGACAAAGTAATTCCTGTTGTGCAAGTGTGACAGGAGTTTTGGCATGTAGAATGAAGGGGAGGAGCTTGTGGCTCTTTTCTCTCTTTGTTGTGCTTAGGTTTTGTAACCATCTTATGAAGGACAGTGGCAACTCAGTTAAACAAAACTAATTCAAAACTGTTAGCATCAAAGAGTCTTTGAGTTTAAGGTCTTCATCAGTGCCAACATGTGATTGATTTCAGGTTCCTACCACTGCTGTTGTACATAATCACTTTATGTAAGTACTGCTTTGTCAGGTGACTGTTCTGCTCACAAATGGCTATCTCTACCAGGTTTTGCAAGTTGGAAAGCTGGCTGGATCTCTGGGATTTGGTCACCATGTTTAGCGGAACAACCTCGGGCTCAGACTGTGTGTCTGATGTGTTGTATGGGCATTGCTGTTCACATGAAGTTAAAATGACTTCCTGGTCCCATCCTTGAACATCTCACTTTGGAACTCCATGTCAGCTGTTAGGGCTCAGGCTTCTAGTTGAATCTCTTCTTGTACTCCATGACAAGTGAATAAGGAATTCTGACTCAGCAGAGGAATAATCAGGCTCTGTTGGCTTTACCTTCAAGCACTCAGATATTTCTAACTGACACTTGATATAGTCTGAGTTCAGCTTTTCTCTGAATTGGTGTCTTATGGATATTTGGATTTGGGCTTTCCTCTGTGTCTTGTGAACTGCACTTCCAGTGTGACCGTGTTCACAGGGGTTTTTGAATGAGGCAAGAGATGAGAATGTTGACTCCATGTTCAGAAGGCTTGATTTATTATTTTGTTATATATATATTACATTATAACTATACTAAAAAGAAAAAGAAGGATGAACTTTCCTCAGAACCTGGCTAAGCTAAGAATAGAAAAGAAAGGAATGATAACAAAAGCTTGCTCTCTCGGACTTTGTCTGAGATAGCTCAGTCCTTGATTGGCCATTAATTATAAACATTCAAGATGGCCCAATCAAAAATCTACCTGTTGCATTCCATGGCAGCAGATAACCATTGTTTACATTCTTTTTCTAAGACCTCAGCTTCCCAGAAGAGAAAATCCTAAAGAAAGGATTTTTAGTGAAAAAGATGTCTGCGACACTTGCAGCTTGATACAGTCTTCTCCCAACTAATCTGACTATTCCCATGTATTACATTCAAATAGTTTCAATCGTTACCAAAGAAAATACATTTAAATTCATTTCCTAATGTGTCAGACACACCTAAACTTCCCCCATCTCCTGGTGCTCAGTGGAAAAATCTCTCCTGTGGACAAAAGGTTTCATTATCAGACCCCAGACTGGGCTGTGCAGTGTGTGACTGTATCATCCAGAGGTAGACTTGGTGTTCTGCATTTGGGTTTTGGATACTAAAAAACGTGACCCGACACAGTTGTTTCTATTATGGATTAATTATGTTTCTATTAGGGATTAATTCTTTGAGCTTTCTATAGGTGGACTGCTAGCAGTCCCTAAAACACCTTTTAAAACAGGCAAAATAAGGAGCATAGGTATTCCTAGCACTGAAATTAACACATAACTTGTAACAATCAGAGAATATGTGATGCAAAAAAAACCCCAAAACGTTGCCTAGTTGTACTTTTATCTTGTGTTTGAAGGCTTTCTTTAATATGATTAAGTGATGAGATTGTGGTAAGTATCCAGGTCTCTGAGAAGAGCCTTGCCTTGTGTCTCCTTTCATGGAAAAACTGGTTGGAAGAGACCTCTAGAGGTCACCTTGTCCAGCTTCTCACTTGGAGCAGGGCTGTTGGCAGCAGTAGATCAAACCAGTCATTGCTGTGTCTTGCTGCTTGATACCCACAAGGATGCAAATTATGCATCCTCTTGAGAAAGCCTGTCTATGGAGAAGAAACTACTGAAAATTATTTTTCTGATGAAAAATAATTCAAATGACCTGAGCCTCCCAAGCTGCATTTGAGGCCGTAGTCCTCCTTGTATTATCTCCCACTGTTGAGAATTCTGATATCTGGCACTTTTATTTCCTTTCTGCAGAGCAATTCCAGTCACTTGTATTGTTCAAGCTCTTTACTGAACTTCCTAAAGCATATATTAAAAAAAACCATCTATGTTGCAGATGCCTTAGCTCCAATTTCCCATTTATCTCTGGTATTTCACCCACTAAACATGATGTACAGACTTGACAGAAATGGTTTGAGCACAGTACTTAGAGTGCAGTGGCCTTTTCCTTGCATGATGACCCTGCCTGCCTTCACAGGAACCAAAGCCAAGCAGAAATATTCCAGTGTTTTTCTTATATCCAGTATCTCACCTAATTAAAATGCTGATGTCTCACCCAAATGCAGTTAGTAATTAATTATCTAATGCATTTCTTGTTGCAATCCACCAGGTGGCACGGTTCATCTGGTTTGCCGAAATAAGGAACGGGCTGAAGTTGCCAAAGAGGAAATAGTGACAGAAACGGGCAATCAGGTGAGTTGTTTTTTAACTTTTAGAAAGGTTGTTAATATTAAAGACCCCAGAGGCCATGAGATACTCTTCAACATCTTGATGTTGTGCTTTTAATAGTATTTTCATACAGACATGGAAACATCTAGCAGTTTATAATTCAAATGATTTGAAGGGATTAACTTCAAACCATTTAAATCACCTAACTTCATTAGGTGACATATTCTGTGATTAGTAACATCATCAGCAGCATGCTGTTTTATTTAATGTTTGTTTGTTGATTTGCTTTTTGATGTCCTACTTACTATTCCTAACTATGTGTCTCAGGCTTTTAAAAGTTAATGCATTGCAACACTATTGCAACAACATTTATGAGTCTACAGCATTGGAGCTGAAGGTTTTATGTCTCTGAATAACATGCTCTTGATTTGCTAAGGTTGGCTGCTCTGTGAAGTCCTGTGTGTGGTACTAATTCCGTGCTCTACATGCCTTTTCATTTCCTTTTCTTATAGTACCTCTTCCTTCCCTCTGTTAGACATTCTTTTTGTTTCTGTATATATCACTGTACAGTCCACCTCTATATTTGTCACTGTTGCTTTCATTAATTGTTCAGGAGGGTGTGCTTATGGAGTTCGCTAGTCATTATCTTTCTTACTTGGTGCCCTGGTTTTGGCTGGGATAGAGTTAATCTCCCTTCCAGCAGTTCCACTGGTGCTATGCTTTGGATTTGTGACCAAACCAGTGTTGACAATCCACAGTTTAGTTATTGCTGAATGGTGCTCACACAGCATCACAGCCTGTTCTTATTCTTACACTGCCCCACCAGGCGAGCAGGCTGGGATGCACAAGAAGATAAGGAGAGGACACACTGGGACAGCTGACTCCAGCTGACCAAAGGGACACCTCTGACCATAGGACATCTTGCTCAGCAGTAAAAGCTGGGAGGAAGAAGGAGCAAAAGGTGGCATTCACAGATCTGGTATTTGGCTTTCCAAATCACTGTGGTGTGGGATGAAGTCCTGCTTTCCTGGGGATTGCTAGATGCCTGCCTGAGAATAAGAAATAGTGAATTAATTCCTTGTTTTATTTTGTTTGCACACACAGTTCTGCTTCACTTATTAATGTCTTTATCTCAGCCCACAAGTTCTGCCTGTTTTGTCCTTGTGCTTGTCTCCCCATTTCCACTGGGAATGGAGTGAGTAAATAGGGTTGTATGGGGCTGAGCTACCTACCAGGGTTAACATAGAGCACATGGATGGAGACCTGTCTTCATTTTAAATAATGACTTGGCTCTTGTACACTGTATTTTGATTCCAGTAATAGGTTTTAATGTGGATCAGAAATTCTGGAGAGTTTTTTATGCTTAGAAATGTCATATTGACTAAATTTCTGCTCTTTGATTTCAGCTCCCTAGTGTGACAGCTAGCATTACTCTTCAGTTCTTTAATGGAGGTGAATTAGATCAGTCCTTATGTAGAAATAAACACTTTCCAACTGTCTATAGCTGTGTAATCCCATGGCTATAGTAAGGCTGGTGATTATCTGTGTTGCCTCCTTCTCTAACTGCAGTCAGGCTGCCTGGGAAGAGAGGTGAGTTTGACCTCTGAAGGTTCCTGCATGTTCTGCCTTCTGTCACCTGATGAAAAACACTTGAGGCAAATAATATTCTCCCTCTAAAGGCAGCATAATTACTGAATTTCCACTTTTTGGTAGGCTGCAGACCTGTCATTTCTGTAGTCATGGGGGAGTGTGAGGGCACTGCAGGACTTGTTTGTGACCCTGGGGACAGGGCACTTGTGCAAAGAGCAGCTCTCACTGAAGTGTTAGATGAGCTGTACAAGGGGCCCTGTGGGACACGTGACTGCACTGGGAAGAGCATTTTAATAAGGAGTCCACAAGAATATCCTTCTTTATAAGTGCTCATTCAGAAGCAATACAGAGAGATAATAAAATGCTTTATCTGCAACTTGACAGGCTGTATCCAGGCTGAATTTGCTCTTCCTGATAATTTGGATGAAGATCCTGTTATAGTATACACCAAAGATTTTTTCCATCTTCCACAGTACATGCTGGAGTGCAGTGCTGAAATGGAGTTATTTGGCAGTCACCTGGCCCTAGATCTGGGAGCTGGCAAGTTCTCCTAATTTGTTAAAATAGATCAAGTCACAGAGATTAGGTTTGCTTTGAAAATGGCTTTGCTACTATTGAGGACTTTTTTAGGGAACAGATCTGAATATCCCTTTCCTGAGTCAATATGACAGTCTTCAGCAGATAAGCATTGATTTAGATCTTTTTCAATCTCTGAAATCCCTTGCAATACTGAACATCTGCCCAAAAACCTTTACTTCTTCTGTACCAGTAGATAATGGTAATAGTTTCAAAAGTAGGAAGTTAAAGAGGTATCTAGCTTGAACCAGTAGAGCAGTGTCAAATTTTTGGTCAGAAATTATTCACAAAATTGATATGGTTGGAAGGAACCACAGTGGATCATCTGGTCCAATCTCCTTGATCAAGCAGGGTCATCCTAGAGCACATTATTGCAATGAGAAAATTCTGATTCAAACTCAACTAAGGAGCTGAAATCAACTGACTAGAGAGAAAGTCATGTGCTTTTTTATCTTCAGGGAAGCAGGATTGCAGGCAGGGAATAATGCCATATCATTTCTTCAGCTTCTTCACTTTTCTTGTTTGCTTGTATAATGAGTATTTAAAGAAACAACTTGGAAAGAGAGGAGGCCCTTTAATGATTATTTGTTGTTTTGCAAGAGAACACATCCTCTGCATAATTATTTTAAAACTGCCTTTTCCTGGCATACGTCACAAGACTATCTGTGGTGTGTCTTTGAGACTAAGTGTTGTCTAGGAGAAGAGTAGGAGTTGATGTGCCTTTGTATGCTGGTAAATGCCACTGTGCTTGTGCTGTGTAGAGCACAAATCTCCAAAAAGCAAAAGAATTGTCTGTAGCAAACAGTAAAAGGCTTTTGATGTTTTGGAGGGAGGAATTATTTCTAGCTTTAGTGGTTTAGAAAATGATAACTTTGCTTTATGTCAACCCTTTTTAAATTTTTTTTTCCTATTGCATCCACATTGCTGGGCATAATATTGCACAACATTTGCAAGAGCATTGTGACGTGGAGTGACTGACAAGGGTTTAGCAGTTCATGCAGCAGTTAGCATGCAAGGGGATGCAGAAGGCACCCAGCACTCTGAGGCAGCTGCAGTGGGTGCAGTGCTGCTCCTGAAAGCAGGCTTTACCACCCTGGCTGGAGCAACTGTGCCTGGCACACGGGACACTAGCCTGGACAGAGCTCCAGAGGGATAATGTGGCAGATGTTGGATTGCAGGGTGTGACTGGGACTTTTCCCTGAGCCTGGGGCAGCACGTGATGGTGGCTTCATGTGTTGGATTCTGCTGTCCTCAGGGTGCTGAGCTGCCAGGTGATGTGACAGCAGGAGATGAGCAGGCTGCAGAACCACAGGGAATAGGAACAGGAGATTGACAGGGTCTCTGCAGAGAGTAGAAGAGCACATTGCATGGAAGGAGGGACAGCTAGAAGCTGCATTTGAATAAGTAGTGGATAGAGACTTCTAAGATGGGGAGGAATTAAAGCTTGTGAATGCTGGCAACAGAAGGCAGCTCCCTCTCTGCCTGCAGATGTGCATTTATAGGATAGGTATAGTGCCATGGTAACAGATGAGGAAGAACAGGCTCTGTCAGGGGAGGTGTTGGAGACAGATGATCCTGAACAGTTGTTGACAGTGGGAGGAAGTCGTGGGTGATTATGGCTGAAGGCTCCTTCCTGTGGGGGATGCAGGCACCCGCCTGCAGTCTTGGCTTGATGACTTGAGAGGTTTGTCTCTTGCTGGGAGCTCAGATGTAAGGTACTGCAGAGAGTCTGCTGGGGCTGCTCTGGACCTTGGCCTGGTACCTCTTGTTGCCCAGCCACATGGGCACCCATGACATTGTGAGGGGTAACCTGGAGTTCACTGAGAGTGTTTAGAGAGCCAAGGGCATGGAAGCCCTAGCAGTGGTCTCCTAAATCCACACAGTGAAAGGGAAGGGCTTGGGTAGAAGCATATATGCCCTGCAGATCAACACCTGAATGGTCAGCTGGTGCCACTTTGGCCTTAGCTTCCATGGCTTCTTGGACCTTCTCTGTTAAATGAGCTTAGCTGAGGAGCAATGATGTATTAGAGCAAGAGTGTCTTTGCCAGCAGGTTTGCTAAGCCTACTGAGGAGGCTTTAAAGGGGTTTCATTGGTTTGTAGTGACCAAACCCAGAAGAGTAGAAGAGTCATGGGAGCAGTGAGTGTCTAGGGGACAGCGAAATGGAGGAAGCTCTCACAGTTTTCATGAGAAAGCAGCATGTCTGGGAGCCCATTTCAGATACTTGTTCATGAGTACACAAAACACAGGAAACACAGGAATACATGCAAGACTGCAGAGCTGGGATCTCACTGGGATTAGGCAGAAATAGTTGGCATGACTAGAGTGCTGGAGTGGATGTATACCCTTGCTCATTGTACTGGTTTTGGCTGGAATAGGGTTTATTTTCTTCACAGTGACTTGTGTCTGTGTTTAAGATTTGTGCTGCACACAGGGTTGATAATACAGAGGTGCTTTTGCAATTGCTGAACAGGGCTTACATAGAGCCACGGCCTTTTCTACTTTTTGTACTGCCACGCTGGAGAAGAAGTTGGGATTGCATGGGAGCTTGTGAGGAGACACAGCCAGGACAGGTTGACTAACTGACCAAAGGGATATTTCACACCATATGATATCATGCTCAGTAAAGGAAGCTGGGGGAAGGAAAAAGGAATGGTGAGATGTTTGGGCTGGTGGCTTCCCAAGTAACTATTATGTGTGATGGAGCCTTGCTCTCTGGGACATGGCTGAACACCTGCCTGTCCATGGGAGGTAGTCAGTTAATTCCTTGTAAAAAGTCTAAAGTGCCTGGTATTCTCAGGCAGTTTCCCATCCAAGTACTATCCAGGCCCAACCCCGATTAGTTTCTGAGATCAGACAAGATTGGGTTTTCTCAGGGTGGTATGCTCATAGGCTTGGGGCATTTTTGCTTGTCTGTGGCTTTTGCTTTCTCTATTAATCTATCTTTATCTCAGCCCACAAGTTCTCTATCTGTTATCCTTCTGATTCTCTCCCTGATCTCTTTGGTGACATGACTCTGCCTGTGGACAGGAGGGGAGCAGTGCTCTCCTTAACTTTGACAAGGCTTTTTACATGGTTTGCTATGATATCCTTGTATCCAGTTTGGAGGGATGTGGTTTGAGCTGGTGGATGAAAAGTGGGTGGGAAACTGTCCGGATCATGTGGCCTTAAAAGTAACAATCAACAGTACAGAGCTGATCTGTTAATGATTTTTAGTGGATTCCCTCATGAATCAATACAACGGCAGAACCTGATGACTTTTTAAGAGCACAGATGACAGAATGAAGGTGACAGGTGCAGTCTTTGCCTAGCTGGCTGGAAAGCAGATGGCAGAAAGGGACCTGGGAGTGACAAGTTGTCCCTCTGTGAGCAGTGTCCTGGGGCAACGGAGGCCAGCCATACCCCAGGCTGTATGAACATGAGTCTAGCCAGCAGGCTGAGGGAAGTGCTCTTCCTCTTGATTAATCCTTTGTGAAACCACAGCAGGAGTCCTGTGCCTGGCTTTGGACTCCCCAGGATGAGGAAGTCCTCAATGTCCTGGAGTGAGTCCAGCAGAGAGTGACTAGGGAGGTGAGACATGTGATGGATGAAGTGACTCTGAGAAGGCTGAATTTGCTCAGCGTTGAGAAGGCTCAGATGGGTCTTGCTGTGTTCTACAGCCATGTGATGGGAGTGTGTAGGGAAGGCACTACCATGCTTCTCTTGGAGGTCTTCAGTGGGAAGACAAGAGGCAGCTGACACAGATTGGAACAGGGACAAAATTCTGAGTAGACAGTAGGAAAAATGTGTTCACCATGAGGGTGATCAAATGCTCTGAGCAAGGGGCTCAGACAGACTGGTGAATCTCCATGTTTGCCAAGCAGCCTCCAGAGGTCTCTTCCAACTTAGATTATTCTCTAATGCTGTGACCTTGAACATTTCCTTGGAAAGTTCAGCCAAAGAGAAAGCTGCTAAATTGTTTAAACTGAAATTTTGCACGCTTTGCAATATTTTTCTAGTTTTCTGTTATGCCTGTCTGTCACATATATTTATTTAAGTAGGACTCTCTGTTAATAACTTTGGCATTAAAAATCTGTGTCTCAGAAGCAGCTGAATAATGACTAAACATGTTTTAAGGACTGGAATTAAATTTTGCAGTTGTGCATGTTAGCCTGTATTAGTTGACTTCTGGAGACACTGTTTTTTTCATACTACTTAAATAGCTTTTCACCTAGACAGGCCTAAACAGGATTTCTCTTCATTTTCCCTGTTGATTGTGACTTAGTTTCTTTTCCTTTAGAACATCTTCTTGCATATTGTGGATATATCTAATCCCAAGGAAATATGGAAGTTTGCTGAAAAATTCCGAAATGAACATAAATTAAATGTGTTGGTAAGTTCATGTACTTTAATCATGTGTATCTGTTTTGGGAGTGTGTAGCCTATGAATTTGTCTGACAGGTCATGTAGACTTAACAGTTTGGCCCACAATTCTCTCCTTAATTTTTTCTAAATGCTTTTTTCAGAAGTCTCCATGGTTTGCTTGCTCTTGTCCCTTCTCAGTTAACACAGATGTGCTACAGAAAAAGAGAAAAGCATTAATTTTATAGCCTCAACTTTGGAGGCACCATACATTTTCTCTTTGACTTTCATTGCTAATAACATTGTCCCTCTTAAAGCTAGACCTTCTGAAAGATTAAACTTTTGCAAAAACTCCAATGACTAAAACAGAGCCAGGGAGAGACTAAACAGTTAATCATCATGGTTTGCAAGGGGCTCAGTGCAGTTCCCCATTTATTTAGCGGTGAAAATTTGCTTGGGGGGGCTGAACCACAGCTGAGGCACCTGGAGCAGCTCCTTTGGTGCTTACTAGATGAGGAACATCTGATAAAAAAGAGGAAATAACTTTTGAGGAGTGCCAGAGAACATGCAGGATGGTGTGTAGGGGCAGAGCTTTTTTTGAAGTGGGAAAGAAAAGTCTGAGCTCCTTCTGGAAGGTAAGGCAGAGAAACAAATGTGTCAGAGACTGTGCTAGCTGCACACAGCTCTCATGTTTTATTGAACAAATAAAAGCTACAGTATGTAGCTTTGTTTTGTAGTTCCAGAAGACAGCAAATTAGCATGGACTGCTCATATGTGTGGATTTCCTTGTAGATATTTGTGTTGATTGCTTTTGTTTAAAGGAGTTCTTTTGCAGATCAACAATGCGGGATGTATGGTGAATAACAGAGAGTTAACTGAAGATGGACTTGAAAAAAACTTTGCAACAAACACTTTGGGTGAGTATTGAAGGTTTTCTTCTGGAACATGCTTATTTTGCTTACAGAAGTGTGTTTTTATAGCTGGGTTCGTGAGGTATGTATTCCTGCTCGAAGAGAGATCATAGCATTGCTATGCCAGGGATGGAGCCAGGAAGGAAAAGAAGAAATATTACAGCTTCTTCAGAGTGTCATTTTGTAATTTCTCCATTTTTCAGTTGTTCTGATATCAGCATCTTTATTTATCATAGCAGAAGTGGAAAAATGGCGGGTTGATTCTGAATTTTGCTGGGGAACTTCATTCTGGGCATTGCTGCTAATGATGCTCTTTGTAGTAATTGTTTGTCTGGGGTTTGGATGGAGCTTGGAACACGTTCAGATGTTTAAAGAGACATTCAAATGTTTGAGTGGGCTTGCAGAACCTGTTGTGTGTGACAGAGGCACTGTGCAGGAAGTCTGTGCCCCGGATGCTCTCAAGCAGGTGCAATCTCTAGTCAAGGGATTGAGCAGCAATGGGCAAGTCTTGGGTGCTCCATGTGAAAGGGGCTTTGTGTGTGAACTGTGTGGCACTGCTGTAATAGGGACAAAGGATGGGAAGCGAGTCATGAGGGAAAGTGGAGATGTGGAAGGGCCGGGAAAATGGCGAGCCAAGTGGAAGCTTTGCCCCCAGAAGCTGTGGAAAAGAGGTGAGCAAACAGCCAGCCAGTAGAGAGAAGAGTGTCTGACACTGGTAATATCTGTAAGGCTGAAAGCTGCACCTTTTGCAAAGAGACACATGGTGCTTGCATCGACCCAACAGTCCTGACACTCTTCTCCCTCTGCCTCCGTGCAGGGTAGGTGGATTTCTCAAGAGACTGTCTTCAATATATTCAAAAGTGACACATTAAGGAAGAACCGTGGTGCTTTGATTCTGTGTTTTCCTCATGTTCATCATTATCTGGAATGAGGACTGGGAAAACCTAGTGTATAAAGATAAGGCATTTATAGAACTAGTATAACCTGGAAACCATTGTTGGTCTTTATTCTTAGCCTTTTTCTTGTGTTGGTTCCTTAAATCTTCTTTTTGTTTGAAAACTAACATTTTTGTATAAATGTCTTGTGCTTCGCTGTTATTGTGCGTACAGCTCATTTTTTCTGCAAGTCTGAATACATTAAACTGACAATTAAATAAATTATAAAGGCAGAGATTCATTTGGTTCAGACTTGTTCTTCTGCTAACATTCTTCTGTTTCTCATGGTCAAAAAATTCAAAAAGAGTTTTATATTGCCATCAAATTTCCCTTGGCTGTGTAAGTACCAGAACTTCTATCCTGAGGGATCTATTCACCTTAAATTAGTTTTTATCCTCTTGTGGTCTTTCAGACAAAAACCCAGCAATGTGCAAAGGTACAGCTCTTCAGTAGAGAAGCAGAGTGAAACAAACACAACAGTCTGAATACATAAGCATATTTTGGTTTAGTTTCAGACATTGAGGATATTAAGTGCTGAGGAACCGTACTGGTGCACCACTTGAATTATATTTTATCACACAAGTGGAAGCAGCAAATTCTGCTTTTCCAGCTGTAAATCAGCCTTCCTATTGGTATACAGCTGCACAGAGGAAGCTGAATTATATTTGTAGCAAACTAGGAAAATGCCTGTATTACCTTTAGTGGATGTTACTTATAGATCTCCGTTACTCATTCGTGTATCACTTGCTGCATGATTGTATAAGAAGGTTAAGGAGTTAAATCATCCTCTGTTGTCCAACTTGTTCAGAGTTCAGACAAGGACTGGGTTGTTTGGTTCTCTCTAGACAAAAATTAGGATTAAATTTTGGATCTTTTAGAACAGGGTGGGACTTGGTTGAGCTGGAAGAAGCTGGCAGTGCAACAGGAAGCCTCTGTGCTTGCAGGCCAGACACACATGAAGGACCAAGGCTGCAAACCACAGGATTTTTTGTCAAAGTCAAGGGGATAGGGTAATAAATCATAATTTCTGGAGCTACAGGAGAAAATTGTGTGGAGAAAGACCTGTCAGAGTAGATGCTCTGTTATTTCCCTGAGTACTAGGTGCCTTTGGGTGTGTTTTTCTTGGGAGAAGTTAATTTCTTTCAGTAACCATCTGTGGTTATAGGTTTTCAGAGCAAATCCTGGCTAAATTAGATATGGCTGGATATCGCCATATCTATAGGTTGGCTATAAATTTGGATGTGGTCTGAAAGAACAAACTAAATTCCCCTCTCTGCCCCAGTAATGCTAAAGCCTGAAGGGTGACATGGGCTTGTTTGGAAAATACGCAGTTGTCTCTCACTTGACTAACAAGGTAGAATAATATCAATATCTTTTGCAAATCTTTACATGTAGGGTGTTCCTTCCATGGTTCTTTCCCTTTTTTTCCTACCTTGTAGGATACTTTTCCTATCTCTGGTCTAGTAAAGGAGCGTGTAGGTTGTAACTATTTAAAAATGCAAGACCAAAATATAACATGCTTTAAATACACACGTCACAGTTTTTGAGTTCTGTATCAGATATCTGATTAACATTTCTATAAGCTGTAAAATTGCTCATTTAGGTGTCTGAAATGCTGTGGAGCTTTTAAATCTAGTCTAGGAATGTTTTCCTCTTGACTGATCTGTTAGTCCATTTTTGAGCATGATGGATGTCAGTGTTCAGTTCTAATTGATGATCTGACTTTTGAAACATCCTGATCTTTTCTTGGACTACATGGGACAAAAATGACTGCATAAGTCCTCTTGTATGAATATGTACAAAAATAACAGTGGTCAGAAATAAAAGTAAAATTCCCTTAATGTAAAACACAGCTGACTGGCTCATTGAGGGTGGCTAGTGAAACAAGAGGTGCATAGTCCTCTCTGGTGCTGTCAGAATATGCAGATGGATAAAGTTCATGAAAATGTAAAATGCAAGTTGATAGTTAAGGCTTTGTATGGTTTGTGTAATATTCAAGTTCAAACTGTAAAGTGCTTTGGGCAGGTGGTGGCAGCTGCATCTGTGCTGTAGTACCCTTACAGTGAGTCTGAGGCACAAGTGCTGCATGGCTTGTTGTGGTTCTGTTGTTGCTGTCAAATGAAACACCTTGCCTTCTTTCCCTGCTAGAGGCTCAAGAACTGTTGTCTGATTGCTGGAGCTCAGTGAATGTAGAGAGCAGAATGGAACACTTGGACTCTAATGTGGGAGCACTGGCCAGGCACAAGTCTGAAATAGCACTTTGCTGATTGAAACACACTTTAAAATAAACCAAATTGAGCGACTCACTGGGGGTAACATGGGCAGATTTCCTGCAGACCTGCCAGTCCTGATGGGCAGATTTTTTTCTCTGTCTTGTAGTTTGTGTGATGTTGCCCTTATATTTCTTCTTGTGGGCTGACCATGTACTCAGGGTTGTACCCAGGAGCTGGGCAGCAACAAGCAATAATTTCTTCTGCTGAGTCTTGTAGACTTCTGAGTCAAAACTCTTTTAAAATTTAGTTTTATTTTACTTTTTTTGTATAACTCCCAGCAAAGACTATTAAAGCTGGTGGTATTCCGTCATTTTGAAAAAACCTTCAGCATTTATAAGGAAATAGAGGCAAAAGCAGCATGTTCCTATTGAAACAGTAGGCATTTAGCTGAAACAATCCTTTTTCCTCTGTTTTATCGCCTACCTCACTTTGCATTTACTCAATATATCTTCCTGCTTGACATGGAAAAATGACATATATGTTACTTTTTTATTGCTACTTACCAGGCAAGGGGATGCTAAAACACACGGAGAGATAAATGATGCTGCCAGTACATATCTTTTCTTCAATCTAATGGGCTCTCATGTTTTAATAATATATAGACATATACTTCCACTCTGTACAAGAAGGGTTAGAGCCAGAGGAAGTAAGATGTTTGTCTGCCATAGTGACACTATAGCCCATCTATGGCAAACTGCCTGACCTGGATTCGCCTTTGGCAGTCTCTTCCCTACACATGAACTGTTTCTAACTGGTGTTAACTGAATCCAGGGCAGCCTGGTCTTCTGAATCACTTGGAAGTCAAATAACTTGAATATCAGCTGTCAGTCTGCTGTAAGTTCAGTGCTTGATCTTTGGCAAGACAACCTCATCTGTGAAAAGGAGGCTGTGGTTCTGGGTTTCTTTCTAAAGAGCTTTGAGACTTGTGGATCAGAGGTGGTATGTGAAAGGATAAGGTTGAATATAATTGCACATGCAGAAACTGTACTGAAGCCTGGTTCCCAGGAGACAGAGGAGCCCTTATTGAGATGAGCTTTGTCATTTGTGGGAAATGTAAACCTTTAGTTTGTGTTTCATGTTCATTACCTCTTCCCATGCACTCTCAGTTATTGCTAGTGCAGTGGAATTGGCCCTTGGAGACAGCACACTGTAATCTTCATTCCTGATCTCTTACTCAGGAGAAGAGACTCAGGGATGTCTCTTACTGGGAACTGCATAAACTGCAGGAAAAGATAATCAGGCCAATGAAGAATGGAACTTTGTTTGTTGGGTGGTTTTGTTTGTTTGTTTCTGTGGTTTGTTTTTACTTGCACTCAAGAAGAGCAAGCCCTTTTAACTGATTTCTACCAGATGAATGAGCCATTGAAATCTGTACAGTGAAAGATTTTTGGTGGTGTTGGGGTTTTTTGTTTGTTTGTTTAGGTTTTTTTTGTTCCCACATTTTTCACAGTTAAAATAACACTTCCTAATAATATTGCAGAGCTCAGGCAGATTAAGCACTTCACTTAGTGTGGTGCTGGCTGCCTGCCCTTATTCCAATGTTAGCAGGACAAAAACCTCACCAGCAATGTGCCACTAATTGCCAGATAGAACATCAAGCAAAAAGCATTCTGGAATCCACCAAGACATTTGGGTCCACAGTAATTGTATCATCAATTAATTTGATGTTATAAGAAGGTAGTGGATTGACAATGTTACTTCTGCTGAAACCATAATTTTCTTCAAGGTTGATTTATAAAATACAGATTTTAGGGTCACATTAAATTTTAAAGCAAATCAGAGTATATGTTTGTGTACTTTTACTTTATGTCATATCATATTAATTTTCAGTCTGAACTATGTGAATCCTAAGGAGTCTTCCAGGTTCTGGCAGACTGATTTAAACCACCAGCAGTTTGGAAATCTGCATGCACAGTGTTTGTTTATATTTTCTGTTAGGGCTATCCTGTGTTTTGATTACTTTTATGTTTTAGTACAGCAAGACTTGCAGTTTTCTGTGAGAAAGGCCAGTGTTTAATACACTGGAGACTGCTGTCCTGTGCATTAGGATAGCTTTCATTTTGTTCATGTCATGAGAACCACAGTAGAATAACTGTTGTAAGAACATGCAGAGCTACCTTTCCACAAGACCTAATAAAAGTGTCTTTCATAGAGTCCCCTCAGCTTCTGCATCATGTCATGGGAAAGGCAGCAGAACTTTATTTAGGAGTTTATGAAGCAGTCAGGCTGATTTTTGTAGTTTTTGGTCTTTTTAAAAAAAACCAACTTACTATATGAATCAAATGTTTATCTCCATCACGGTGCCTCATTTTCTACACATATGTCATTAATATTTCATTCTTTGATTGTGAAACTACTGAATTAGTGCTTATCCAGGTTGGCTGGGGAGTTGACTGTATGGAGTCAAAAATTTGATTTGTTAGTTAGAGCACAATATCAGATTACTCTACTGAATTGGGAAGATCTCAGAACAGGTGGAACAATTACCAGACAGACCACAAGGGAGTGCATGGTGATTCAATATTTTTGGTGGGTTTTGTTTTTATATTTTTCAAGTAAACATTAAACTTTAATGTGCATGAACAAAGTATGTTCTGATTAAATGCCATGCTCATTACTTTTACTGGAACAAGCATGTTTAATGCATAGACTGGCAACCCACCCTGTCTACTTTACCATATGATAAAGTTAGTTTATGGTGTGTAATGGTGTTGCTCTATAGAAAAGTTTTAATTACTCTGCATTATATGTGATTTCCTATTATGGGAGATCAGCTCCAAGGCATAAAGCCTACAGAAGATTTTCCAAAGAAAACTAATGTTAAGAGACTGTTTATCTTTAAAATCAATTGTACTTCTATCCTAGGAGCCTTTTTGAGTGGGGAAAACATGGCCAGCCACTACTGTGTCAGATTTCATTACACAGAACAGGGCAGTAGCTTTTCCAGTAGGTTTTGCAAGTCAACTCTTCACCTTGGCAGAGTTCAGTAAGGGCAAGATGAAATCCTGTATATGGGTGTGATAGACTGGGCTCACCTTCTTCTGCATTCTTGCTGCTTCTGAGCAAACTCCCAAATTCATTGTGCTGGACTCCTTTGTGTCACAGCAAATACTTCTCATCAAAGGGAAATGTTGTATACCATTTATTTCACTGATTTTTTTCAGTAGGAGACAAGCATTCAGGCCATGTGGATAATGTACCTTCCAGTGACAGAAAATGGTGATACACAAATCTGGCCCCTGTCACACAGTCCTCAATGCAGGTAGTACTAGCTGTATGTTCAACAGATACCCAGTAATTACTGCTTTCAGTGCAAGGCACAGCACTGTTGAATGTTGCCTTTCCTTTCATGTACTTTTGTGTTAAACCATTTAAAAAATCAACAAAACAACTCAATTTGTACAGTTTGAACACAGTGATAATTAAGCATTAACCACATTTGATATGCCTTATCTTTTTAAATTAAGTTCTGTGGGAGGAAATTTCTCCTTTAACAGACAAGAATTTTTTTGCATCAAGTAAATGTGTTAGAATGCTCAAGTGCTTGTTTTGGAAATACTGATATCCAGTACATTGTTATTAATAATCAAGTATTGTCAAAAGGACATACAGTTTGGATGTTGTCTTGATTTACTTACATAGGGGCAGAGATGAATGTAGTTTCTTCTACCAAATCAGTCTTGGTTTTCATTGCAAAGTTGTTTTTTTTAACAAGAAAAGTTTCCTTCTTTTTTTTTTCTTTTTTTTTTTTCCCATAAGGACGGTGACAGGCAATGCCTTCATTTGCTGCTTCCCCTTTTACTCAGAAATTAACTTCAGTGTTAGTGCCTGCTGTGATGCAGCTGTGCTGGACAAAGTAGCTGCTGTGAGGTGCACGGCTGTGCCAGGCCCTGCAGTGACCATACTGAGCATTCTCCCAATGTTTGAATGTCACCATCAAACTACAGACCAGCTTTTGCACTGATACAAACAGGGAGCTTTTAGTTGATGATGGTGTATTCTAACCTTGCTGATAAAGTTTATCTGTTCTGCTATTAGTGTTCTAAATTTCCAGGCTGTTTTGCCTGACAGACCAACCCAGGCAAATAAGAATGTGCAACACCCAAGTATGTTTGTCAAAGGAATGAGGAGTTTGTGTTCAAACACTTAATATGGAGACAGTAGTTGGTGAAATATTTAGCAGTGGGAGAAATTAAATGCTGCAGCCTTAATTCCTGATGCATTGTGTCTGTGTGTGTTTTCAGATACTGTTGCTTGCCATAGGAAGCTGTGATCAAAACTGCTCTGTGCTCTGTCTCAAAGCAAATGAGCAAGTGGTCTTGTGGGGCAGAAAGATGGAATGCTCTGGCTTTTGTTGTGGGATTTACTGAATTCTTAATAAACTTGAGGAAGAGAGGAGATGTGGGCTTTGCAGTTAGTTTGTGGTTCTAAATAAGCACATAAACTTCTGACAGGCTGTAGTTGCTCTAAGCAGGATTTTTGGCATTGAACATTTCTCTTATTCGGCTGGAAACAAAACAAAGCTTGGTTGTTAATGAGGCAACATTAGTGCATTCATCTTTGCAGCTCTTTAAAATTAACAAATCAACATGAAGCCCTTTAAAAGTGTAAATTAATCTGCAGGACAGTAAATGGAGCATCGACAGAGATGGTGCATTGCAGCTCTGCCTTCAGGAGAGGCAGCTTATTTAACCAAGACGTGATGTTACTTTTTTTAAGAATCCACAGCCAAACAGCATTAAAACCAGTCTCTCAGCTTATACTGAAGTGCTTTTTTTTTTTTTTTTAAATTTTATTTTTCCCCCACATCGCGGCAGCCTCCCCTGGCCGTCAGCGGGAGTTCTTGTACCGATGATGTCACCGCTCAGTCTCCCCGCCGCTACCCGGGAACGCGACCGGGCTCTCGTCATCCCCTGGCAACTGCCTTTGCTCGCATTTTCTGCTGAAGACAGGCTGCGTTTGCTCATCTGCGGTGCACTTGCTTCGTTTGGTTTGCCAGGGTTTTAAATATATTGTGTGTGTATGGACATACCTCTGATTATGCTGTGACTGACAGGGGAACTGCGCAGTTTGTTCACTAGGCATGTAACATGTTTGATTTTGGTACCGTATTTATAAACATGCTGTATTTTAACTGGGTGATCTCATTGCCTGTGTGGAAGAGAGGTTATAAAGACATGCTGAAGTCTTCATGCTTTGTGAAAAACATGGCTTCAGTAGCTCAAGAAAAAAAAAATGCATTTATCACTGGTATGATTGTTGAACTAGAGCCATTTGTAAAGACATGAGAGGAAGTAGATGTAGAAGCACTAGACTAAATGGGGCTAAATTAATTTTGAATTAAATGTAATTTTTAAAAAATACATTTTAAACCAAAAAAATTATTTCTGTGTTGCACTTGATTGCCTGAAACATCACTAGGTGTGTCTGTGTGTCTCAGTCAAACACACTGACAGTTGGACAGTGTTTGTAATAACAAACTTGCTGGTAATGGAATATATTTGTGTGGTGTGTAAAAATCCTTGCTACATGAACATGATCAAAAGCAGGGAAGGACACAATTAAGTTTCCCCAAGTAATCTTAGCTCAGCCTCGGGCAGGCAACATTAATATTTTTTCCCCCAAGGATTCCTTATCTTCCATAATGGTCATGCTGGGGATTTAAGGGGTGGGTTTTGTGTGCAACACAAAAAGTGTCAGTGTACTCTGAGTGATTTCATAGTGAGAAGGGAAGAATGGACAAATCTTAAGTGTATATGCAGTGCCCTAAGAACTGTAAGTATGAAGTACAGTTTCCTTTTCTTGTTCATGACCCAGCTTAGGTCTGTGTGTATATTTCAGACTTGTAGGGGAAATGCATTCTCCATTTCTTCACTGGAATCACCTTCCCCTACCCAAGGAATTCCATATCTGAGCTATTTTGCCTTCAGATTATCACAGATGAATGTAGGGAGCAGTTTTCTCTATAGGTAGAACAAACATGAAAATCTGTAAAATAATATATGCCTTTTGCTAAGTATATGGCAATGTGAACCACTACAAATTGAGCTGGCACACTGCAGATGAAGCAGCAAGAAAAAATCATTGTCAAATTCAGATCAGATTTCACAGGTAAAGAGACTTTGGGTTTTGGGTTGTTAAGGAGGGTAGAGAGAGAAGAAAGCTTTTTTAAAAGGAGAAGTTAATGTTGGTGCTTGTCTGTCTTTTAGGTACATACATCATGACAACTGCCCTGGTGCCCCTCCTGGAAAAGGCAGCTGATGCCAGAGTGGTGAGTCTGTGATGCTGTTTAAAAGGGATGTTTTACTATTTTTACCTTCTGGCTTGTAACAGCCGTTCTCTGACTGTGCTAGCAATGCAGGATTACTTACAATGCTGTAAGGATCTCTAAAATCCTCTTGGATTTTGCTAACAAAAATCTCCTGGTCTAAGGCAAAGCTCCTGCCTGCTGCTCTCAACCCTTCATTGGAAATCAGAGTAAAATACTTCATTTGGGAACTTACCCTCTTAGATTCCCTAGGGCAAGTCAGCTCCTGCAGCAGAGTGCAAAATATGTACAACAGGAGTACAGGCTTAAAAGAACTTTACAGATCTTGGTGTAAAATAAGACAGCAGGTACATTTTTAAAAATGAAATTTCCCAAGTTTTGTATGACTTCTAATTAGCTTTGGTAAGTGCTAAACATACAAACTACAAATAGTGCTATTCTGCTATTTTCCTTCTCCCCATTACTTTCCAAAAGGAAGAAGCACAAAATTCCTGAAATGAATCAACATCACTTTGAATGAAAATCCCTTCTCAAAAATGTTATGTATCTATCATCTCATCTCTAGGTATGCTCTGCTCCTGAGCATAAGCATAATGCAAAGAGTATGCAGAGGAATCCTGCTCCATAGGGACTTCCAGCTATGGCCTGAAGACTACACTGCATGCATGAGTGCATCTGTGGGGAGTTCCTGGTTTTGCTTTTCATTTGTTTTTTTTTCATTCATTTCATTACAGATCACTGTCTCTTCTGGGGGCATGCTAGTTCAAAAACTAAATGTATCTGACTTGCAGTCGGAAAGTGGGCCATTTGATGGAACCATGGTGTATGCACAGAACAAGGTACAGCCCCTGGGATTGAAAACAAAACCCAGCCCTTCTTTGCTAGGCAGCTCATACCATCTGCTTTGCAACAAGCCTGTTGGTCACTGTTGCTTTCCCCACATGCAGATGCACAGGCAGTAATCTTCAGGAGTATGATGGCATGCCCTTAGGAGTGCATACATCTTGCGTGGAGGAGAGCATGGCTAGACTTCGATTTTATATGAGAGAAGTCCCAAGGGGGAACACTGTCTTTAGCTGATGAACCCTGTCTGCCTGCTTAGTTCTTGCCCACAGTCTGCAGCAAATAGACATGGTCAGTAAAAGCAGTGCAGCTGCTTTAAAAGTAAATTTGTAGCCAGGGTATGGATGGCAATGACTGTGGAAGTCTCTGTTGAAATTATCCAGTAAATCCAGCCAGGATGAGCAAGGGTATATTTCTGCTGTCCATAAATGCTCTGGTATTTATGGCACATTTGATGTAGTTTATTTCCCTGGGAACTAATTTGGTGGACAGGCTGTTGAACGTGGTGCTAGTGTGGCTCTTACTGCTCTATCCTAGAGACAGCAAGTTGTCCTGACAGAACAGTGGGCAAAGGCTCACAGAAATATCCATTTCTCTGTGATGCACCCCGGCTGGGCAGACACCCCAGGTAACATCTGCTTCACACTCTGACGATATTTTTTCTTTTCAGGATTAGTTTAAAAGCAAAGAGAAATGAAACTTCCTAGTATATTTTTCCAACAAGTGCAGTAATTTCTTTTCTCCAAGCTGGTGCTTGAAGTAGTTTTCTATCCCCTTGGTGGCTCTATTCTGCACAGTGTCTGCTAGCTGTGTATAGCTAGAGAATAATAATGGGCAGTGAATGCTTCCAGCCCTGCACAAATGCACAGCAGAGACACAGTTCTTTAAGGTAACCTTTAAATTGCATTTGTAGTGGAACTGTTAAACACACAGATGGACCTTCTGCCTCTGTAAGTACCAATGCGCAGACACTGGGAATTTGTGAGGGCATGTAGGAGAATGCACCACTGTGCAAGCCCTCTGCTCTTCCTCTAAACATTTACTGCTATTGAGAAGCAGTTTTGTCTTTGTCTGAGCTGCAGCTGTTCTTCAGTGACTGCTTCTGAGCAGGTGGGCCAGTATCAGTCATACACTATGCATGTTGCATTCCCCAATGTTTCCAGTCCCCAGTGCCCAAGGCTGGGATGCAGAATAGCAGTTACATCTCTAGGTCTTTTATAGGGATGCAGTTTCCAAAATTTGCTTCTGACAACAGAAGCATTTACCCTGTCTATGCTTGAAAACAGCCCTTTCCAACTAAATATCCTGGTATTTCTTTTTCTTTAAAATACATTTATTTTTGCACTTCCTTTGCAGATTTCAAACTTAATGAACCGTAAAGTTACCCCACCTTAAAGTTCAAAGACTCTCCAACCCCCCAAAATAAACACCTACATTGGATGGGCCCACAGTCACCATCTGTTGGACAAAATAAAATGAAACCAGAGTTTAGACAGCAAGTAAGCAATTTTTAAATACAGTGCTGCAACTGATTTCCTAAAACTGGTGAGAAAAGAAGAGCTAAAAATCCCATTACAATACTGCTTTTTGGAATTTCTGTTTTCCTCGTGTTTTTCATCTTTATAGTTTAGAGTGGAATTGGCAGAGGAACCTCTTACAGATCCTGTTGTCAGTTTTGTCCCTGTAATTTGGCCCAAACAAACAAGTGGTGGATCATCTGGTGGCTTAGTGCTATTCTTCCACAAGCCATCCAATTCCCAGATAGGGGGAAATACTCATTTTCTTCCATAAGCTCCAGAGATGCCTCTTCTCCTTCCTACACAAAAAATGGCAATTTGAAGCTGGTATGGTGGGGGTATTTTGTTTTGTTGTTTGGGGTTTTTTTTGTTTGTGTCAAGAAAGCCTTGCATGGCAGGCCAGCATTCCATTGTTACCCTTTCCAGCTGTGAGGTCATCCATGCCGGATTTCTACGAGAGGATGAAGAACTCTCTGCGCACGGAGGCCCAGGGAGCCGACACCGTCCTGTGGTTGGCGGTGTCAGCTGAAGCAACGAACCTGCCCAGTGGCTTGTTCTTCCAAGGTAAGGAGCAGTGTCCCACAGTGCACACACTGGAGATCCCCAGCCTGCCTGAGCTCAGGATCCCTCTCTGGCCAGGCAGGGGATAAAGGCAGCTTGTGCAAAGGATAAAAGCATTCCTCAAAGTTGTTTCAAGTCTAAATGTTTGTGTGAGCATTGTGTTAAATTGTTATATTCCTGCTTTTGTCCTCTAAAGTAGCTGATAGAGACTTCAAAGCATTTCTTTAGGGAGGGTTGGGGATTTTTGTAATGAAAATGGCTGCATGTAGGACTGTGCCAAGGGAAGGTGAATCACAGCAGTCAAACAGCAGCTTTTATGATGCTAGGAAATGAGCATCTTTCTCACAGAGCACTGGGAGTTGGCTCTGCTTTGACAGGTTCTTCTTCCTATTGTTCCATGCTGGCTAAAACTGCCAGTTCCCCCTTTCTCTAACACTGGGCAAAGACTTGAGCACAGTGGCATTTTTGGCACTGAGCTTAGGGAATGGAAAAGTAGGGCAGAGCCTTTCTTTTCTCCCAGGAGAATGACAGGCATCTTTGTAGGAGCAGCTGGAAGCAAGGATGCCTCAGTGGTGATGCAGGTCAGTCCAGAAAGAGAAAGCTCAGGGTAATTTCTTACAGAAGCTTAGTGCTTCTGTTGGATGTGGCAATCAAATCCTGGTTCACTGAATTGCTATATGGAGAATGCAGGAAGCTCAGACTTGTCTGCATTTGGGTTGACTTTGTTCCTTCTGTCCCACAGACAGTCACACAGGGTTGGCTGACAGATACTAAAATGAACAGTTTTCATGTCAGCGTCCGATGCATGTGGAAACCCCACATCTCAGCTGGTCAGCCTTCTTAGTAGAACCAGGCTTTGCCTTTCTTTTACTCCAATCACTTTCTTCTGGTCCTAATGCTTCTGCTCAGTTCTTTCTGTTTCTTTCATAATTTCACCAGGCTCTTCCCTTTGGCCTTTTTCTACCCCCAGCTTTGATAAACAGGGAACACGCCCTGCCTCTTTAGCTAAAGTGACTGACTTTGGAGAGCTTTGGTCCTGGTATGACTGATCTTAAAGCTGCAAGAGAAGTTCTGTGTCTTGTGTATGTCTTGTGCTTACCAAATAGTGGTGAAGTCAGTTATTTCTTACTTCTATGACCTTTTGGAAGCCACAGCTTAGCTTGGGCACTCTTCAGGCCCTTTCAGTGAAGGACTTGGGGTGCAGGAGCACTTTGCTAAAAACCCCACACTTCTGATCCTAGGCAGCCATTTTCCAAATCATTCACAGTTCCCCTCCATTTTCTGCATTCTCTTCTGTTCCCTCTGAGAGCAAACCAAAGCCACCTTTTTTTTTTTTAAACCTGAGAAAATAATGAAGTGAGAACATGACTAGTACTACCAGAATTCTCTGCATCTGCTAAAATATATAGAAACAGAGACCTGCGTTCCAAAGGCTAGAAGCATCTTCTCTGTGATGCTGAACTTGGCTTTCATACCTAGTTCCCAAACTTTAGCACAGGCTACTGGAAGCACTATGGCTAGGTGGGAAGCTGTTTGTATTCAGTGATGGAGAATGGAACATTCCTCTCTCTCTCTCCTCAGTTTTCCATGTTATGTGGTGTGTGCAGTCAGGTAAACATTTGCTCTTAAGAGAGCAAATACCTCTGCTCTCTTGGGAAGCCCAGTAGCAGCCTGATAGGTTTTCAGGGAAATCTGCTTCCCAGGGTTGCAGCAGCTTGTTCTTTTTGTCTCAGCTGGCTGCTGTGGAAGTTGGGCTTGCTAAGTAGATTTAACAGTGCTGCACCAGTGCTCTGTTGTTCCACAGACACCTGACAGCATTGTCATGAGGCTCCCAGGCTCTAGACACCATGTTTTTGGAGGGGAGGATCCCTTAGAGTGGATGGTGGTAACAGCTGTATTTACAGAGTGAGTGACAGGCATGAGATTTGGAAAACAAAGCAAAGCATCAAACTGAGCAAACTTAGTTGGATACGTGTCACTTATGGTGACTGAGCAATAAGCTCAAGTTCCTTTGCATTTAGAATTTAACCATTGTTTCTAAGGATGAAAGTAAGCATTTTAAGCATTATTTATTGAAAATAATCCTAACTACAAAGTCCCAGCTGGAGATTTGTACAGTACTAAAAGGATTATCCAGGAGACAAGGAAAAATGTTTCAAGTGCAAGATCATCCTCTGCCTGCAGCAACGAACTCCAGTTATTGCTGTTTGCCTGTGGGTGCTGCACTGGTGACAGGCATAACCCCACAGGGAAGCCTTCCTTTTCCTAAACTGTCCCCAGCTGCAAATGGGGGCTTGCTGCACAGTCCAGGTCATATTGTGCTACAGAAAAATCACTCCAGCTCCAAAATACAGATTGAATTGGTTTAATTTTTGGTTTAGAAGATAAGCTTAATTAGCATTATTTGCAGTTACCTAGAAGGTTAATTTTCCTGGCTTCAAGACCATGAGGTATGTTTGGGCAGTACAGAGTCTATCAGAAAACCTCCTTTCTGCTATGAGAGAGTTAAATGTACCTGTAAGATTTTTTTTCTCCCTTTTTCTTCCAGACAGGCAACCAGTCCCTACACACTTACCCCTAGCATACACCCACAGTCCACCAGAGGATGAAGAGAAACTAATGGAGGTGCTGGAAGAGTTCTCCCAGAAGTTTAAATCTGCTTCTCCAGGAATTTAGGGTCTCTGCTGACACAGTGTCACCACAAATCTTCTAACTACACAGTAATCTGCTGTTGAGGGGAAGTAGGATGCCATAGGCCTGTTAAAAATGAATTAGGTTCAGGTGTTCTCATAATGAGGTGGTAGAGTGGCACCTGTGTAATTTTTCTCTGCTGCCAAGTCTCTCCCATTGTGAATATGCAGCTGCTGCCTGAAGACACACTAAGGTTGTGTTCTTTGGATTGGAAGAAAAATTGAGAGGCATTAAAATAAGCTCTGAGACTTTGTAAAGTTACCTAGAATAATTTAAAACACTCAGCACAGAGAAATGCAGAGGAGTGTACTTTCAGTAGCCTTTGTGAAGGACTTCAGGAAAGAAGAGGGAATGTTTTACACAACTTTTAACTGCTGTATTGGACAGGTTGGTGGCTTCCTTCACTGCATGAGGGTGATTGGGCTCAAGTATGTAACTGGGAATGCAGAAACTCTCTTGCAGAGCCTGCTTAGTTTAAAGGGAAGGATTCCTCATGGCCTTTAGTTTCTATAAATTAGTGCTGGTATGCAGAAGTGATCTGCTTCCTCATGTTTAAACAGCAAGAATTTAGGAACACTGCCAAATGCCTTCCACATTACTTTATGGAGCCAGGGCTAAATATTATCCCATTTATGTCAAAATACCATGAAGTAGGAGGTTTCAACACAAGACACCCAGACATGGCTGGATCCAGCAGAGAAATGGCTGCATGACTGTAGGCACAAAAAGAAACAACGTGCTAAGGTGTATCTGCTTGCCATTTCTGTGAGAGATTAAAGGGAATTGTTTTATCATTGTGAATGGATTAAGAGGGGAAGGGAGCACTGGTGTGGCACAGGTTTTAGAGGAGAATGCACCTCCTGATGAGAGGCTTGTATTTTGTCTGGGTGTGTTTACTTCCAGACACAGAGGACAGGATTCATCCTGCCTGATCCGTGGACATTTGAGTTACTCACAGAGTTTCTCACTGTAAATTGGTAGAGGGGAAAATGGACTTTTTCACAGGGATTTACTGGATCCAGTTTGAGAAGCACCGCCTACAGTGCTGAATCTTTCTAAGAGTGCTGAAGACAGTCAGCTCAGACTAAGACTTTCTGGTGGGTCTCATTTTGTCTTAATTATTTCAGATTTACTGCAAAGCCAAGACTATTATTAACAAAGGTAACACCTTTTCTACTGAACTGAGTGTGTTTATTAACCAGCTGCCTCCAGAACCAGCCAAGTTGCTGCAGTGTTTCACGTGTGCCTCACACCAGTGTGGTAAGACCAGGGACCTAAACACAAATATAACACAGATGTTCTTGAGCTCTCTGCAGTGACTGGCAGCTAAAGACTGGTGATGGACAGAGGAGAGCTCCTTCTGTCTTGCTTTACGTAATTTAGTTTCCTCCTGGCTGATGATATTTCCTCACTATTCAAAGATCTCCTATTAAGTATCAGTTTAAGAAAAATCTGCTTTTTTCAGCCTATTGTCAATCTCCCTAGAAGTAAAGACTTTACTGTCAGAGAGGCCCTGACAAAAATTTTCCCATGATAAGCAGTGCTGAGACAAGTCAGGCTGTCACAGCTCCTCCTGTAGAGGCTGGGTCAGCAAGCAAGTTATTGCCTCATTTATAAACTTAACTCCTTCTTGCCCTACAGTTAAAGAAAACAACAGCAAGGCTTGTACAGAGGTTTATTTTCTGCAAATTTGGTATTAACATTTTCTATGGTTTAATACAGTTACCCAAAATGAGAGCATGGCTGGAAGCATGTATAGTAACTACATTTCTTAACCCAATAGCTGCAAGGCTAATAAAAACATTTGCATTATTTAGTATTTACATCAGTTTGCTTCTCAGCTCTGCAGTACAGAAGAAAAGTTTAATGACTGGTATTTAAATAGTTCATAAAAGTACAAACTGTGCACTGTATATGTATATATTTAACACATTTTAGTCCACATTCTACACTAGTGTATTTGAATAGCCTATATTTTTCATTTTTTGTCACAGCTTAAAAATGAAGCCAGTTAAGAAAACTGTTTTAATCAAAGTTTGGTCACAGTGTCTAAGAGCAACATGCTATGGTTTAAGAGCACTTCTGATTTAAAAAGAACTAAACAACAGGAACAGCAAGTAGAAACTAAGTCCAGAGTGTCACACACTTTGGTATTATGGTCCTGCTGATGCTTTATTTCAGCCTGATTCCACGAGAGCAAACATGGCATGTGGCTTGAAGCCAGTGAGAGGATCTGTCTAATGCA